ACATGTAGCCAATTAATCAAGGTAGTTAAGCTGGTATTTAAAATCTGAATATTTGTGACTGCTTTATTCACAATACAATAACATCACATCAAAAACGCATCTATTATTGTTAAAAATCCTTAATAAATTATATCATTTAAAGATACACAAGACATACTACTTAATATATGCAACCATGTTTAAGCTATTTAGATACATGTAATAAGGGCAATCAGTTAAATTAGGTCAATAGACATATCTATATACGAAAAGAAATGAAGCTGTAATTACATTTAAGTATATATTTGAAAAATTAGAAAAAAAAACTAGTAGTCTAGTTTTTGTCTTGCACATCGATGCCGAAAAGGAAATACATGTGAAAGTCTTTGGTTTTCCTAATCCGGAAAGATAAAGAAAAATTAAAACACAAGGATTTGTCATTATTGTAACTGACTAAACCTAATTATCTGAGATGCTTTACACTGTCATCATTACTTCCAGCTTACATAAACACGAGCATGTTTATCGTATATAACTACATGTTCAAAATACAAATGTATCACTAGATAGGTTCCGCTGATTGTTATCTTTCCGTTTTCATATATAGTATCATCACGATGCCATGTGATCAGACTAGATCATCACGATGCCATGTGATCAGACAAGCAACTTGTCGTCATCTAATAAAGGTGTATTGAACATATATGAGGGACACATGATGTACGTGTACTGTAACTTTCCTGTGATGAGTTCTATTCGTCAGAACGTAATGTGTTAATGGTAAATTAAACGTTTGGAATTAAAAGGAATCCGTTAATGGTTTTAGAATTACGGCAAACTTATAATTTTAACATCACCATACTTTATCATTCAACCATTATCGTATCAACATAACTAACAGCTGTTCGGCAATGCTATAATACAAACGCAGTTATGTTGATAAATTAGAAATTATTCTTTTAAACTATAAAGTTTGAAAATTAGTTATTAGCTTCGGATTTAATAATACATAAAACCTTACCACTTAACCTTAGATCCGGACTTTTAACAGTAAATGAGTACTTAAAGGTAAACAATGTTATTACGCTGTTTTGTCTCTCGCTGGTTTTGTTTATATCTATCGATATTATTAAAAGATCAAGTATACGTATCAAACATTTATATTGTACCTCTTTTATGTATTTTAAGTGATTGAATCTATAGTCATTTAACATATAACTCTGCACTACTTAACATTAAATGCAAATAATAAACGTATGTGATCACACTAGTGTGTAATCAATCATTTTCCATTCTTCTGATATATGTTTTTTTTTCTGATCATCTGGTTGTTTCAATTACAATTTGATATTTATGTCAGAACGTACTTCTCAATAAGCATAATGATACAAAATGAATAAGAGATACCTAAATGTAGCATATTACTCGTCAAAGTGACATCAGGTGTATACATCTATCAGCAGCTATCTATAATTACAAAATGTTTAGTTGTTAATCATCCCCTTCCATTTGAATAAAATAAGAATCTGGGAATGCTATTTACGAATACAACAGACAACCACTGACGAATTCTCATGTTTCAGGCAATACACGACACAGTTAGTGACCAAACTATATTATTTTAGTCCTCAGTGTTTGAATTTTTATTTATACTCATAGCACAAGTAACATGGAACAACAAAACAAAAACACCGTTCCGTATTAGCTCAATAAAAGAAATTATAATAATAATGATTGTAAATATCAATAGTAATCAAAATGATAATGATGGTAATAAAAATACTGTCCGTTTAACGTACGAAATAACTCATTTTTATTCATAAATCGGCGTTAAGGCAAATCGTACTAATTAGTTGTTTCGATAAACGTAAGGTATACAACATCGTTTTATAGATCTTTGTGTATATGTGATTCTGTTATACATAATGCGTATCTTAAGGTGTCTCTTGTCGTATAACATACCGAGGCGTGTCAGGATTGATCAAATGAAAAACCTACCGTAGACAGGTCTTTGTTTGGGCAATCCTGACACCATGAGGTATGTTATACGACAAGACACACTTTGAAATATGCACTATCTGACTTATATACCGTCAAAAACAGTATAACCTGCAAACATTTCCATGATTTGCATCCTATGTCACCTATCACATTGAAGTGTGATATTATCTGCATAAACGTTAAGTATAACTACGCTCTACAGCTAATTCTAAATGTGAATTATATACCTAATATATAGTTATTTTCTTTCAGAAAGATAGGTCATTCGTGAGAAGAATCAACCCGGACGATACCAAGTTCAATAAAATATTTATCAAGAACAATATTGCTGGTGTAAGGTCATTATTTTCCTTGATAAAAAATGTAAACTATAATTAACTTAGATATCTAATTCGTTTGATAGTTTGTTGTTGCTAGTTGGGGAAGTATTTTTTTAATGTTTTCCATTTCTGATAGGCTTAAGGCAGAAACAATTCTTTCCTCCGTATATTAGGCTGAAATACAAACAAATAAAATCGTCATTTACGTGCATTTCAATTTTCTCGCTTCATAAAGGGACATGTTGCTTAAAGGTTTTTCTTGTCGTAGAACACAACGAGGGATGTCAGGATTTTCGGTCGGTCTTTCATTTAATCAATCCTGACACCCATCGGTGTGTTCTACGACAAGAAATACCTTGAGCAATATGACGGTTGCCACATGTGGAGCATTATCTGCATTCCCTTATGGAGCACCTGAGTTTGTTCCCGGTTTAAGATAGGGTTCGTCTTGTTCGGTCTTAAGTATTCTAGGTTGCACTTCTGAAAATATAGACAATGCAGTTTCCTAGAGTAACTATTATACGGCTTAAACTGTCCCACCTTTACCATACAGTTTTTCATAAAATAGTATATCCTAGAATGAAAAGTATATATGCACTTCTAATTTTTTCAAGGGTCAAAACATTGGGCTAAGCGGCATATTTTCAACATTTTTATACCTCGAACTTTTAAGAGTTTAAACTTATACTAAATCTGAACTACCACTCCCTTCACTTTGGGTCTCCCTCAAAATTCAAATTCGCCGCTGTCCATGTGTTTTTATACTAGTAGCATTCCCAAGTTGTGTCTATACGAGAAGAATCATAGAGATTATATGTGGGAACCAATACATGCAATAGGTAGACAAAACAATATATATATATATATATATATGTATATTGAATTTCTCCCCAAACGAGTCGTGGTTTGTAAAACAGCTGTATTTACAACCTCTATGTTGTGTACTGATTTTCGTTTTTTTTTCTTTGGCATTTTGGTTTGTTTTTGATTGATGAGTTTGAAAATCTATTTGATACCTTTCGCCTCTCTTTCAATCTGCTATGGAGGACATTTTAAACAATAATTTAGAAATTTATGAATCGACAATGAAAGAACACTCTAAGCCAAACATTTGAAGATCAAAGATTCAACAGATCGTTCAATTTATATAAACCGCATGGTTGGCTTTAGGTTAGCTTAATGGGAATGGTAATTGTTTTATATATGGTAAGTTTCAGTGGGTATTGAAGACGAGCAAATGAAGAGGTACAGGTTAATAGAAATACCGTATCGAAGAATAATTACAGTTACGGAAACTAAAGTCAAAGTAATGATCCCGATAATACTGAAATCGTTTCGCCTATTCATCTAAGCACTGTATTAAAAAGCTGAAACAAAAATAACATTTTATATTTTTCGTGCATTCACAACTCCCTTTATGAATGTACCTTCAAGAACGTAAATACCTAGATATTTGAAATCTAGGGATGTATACAAATGAATAAACGTTTAAAAAAAATGACACAAAAATAAAAGACATGGCAAATACAGCTGAAATCAACTTTGCCTGAGTGAGTTGAAATCTTAGATTCTTAAATAATAAACGCAAATTTAAGAAAACAATATGCTCTTAAACTTGTCAATATCAAAACACTGACTTCTGAGCTGATGACACCAACAAGGTCAACAGTCCACTAGTTGTGGTATGGACCTTGTATTATTAAAATCCATCTTAACAAATATACTTTTTATATTATAATCTGAAGTGTGGTTAACAATTTGTTATTCAAAGAAAATCATAAGACAAAATATTTAATAACCCCTTATGGAATTTACAATTGCATTATCATTGACACTGAAATATTTGCTATTGTTAGACTCCAAAGGAAAGCATTGCTATATATTGCTTGAATAAGACACATTAAACGTACTTTACATGGAAATGCAAAGGCGTGTATCAAAATTAGTAGAAATTTCATTGTATAATGACAATAATTCCGAGAAATTGGAAAACTACAACAATTAATAAAATTGAGAATGGAAATGGGGAATGTGTCAAAGAGACAACAACCCGACCACAGAACAGACAACAGCAGAAGGCCACCAACAGGTCTTCAATGCAGCGAGAAATTCCCGCACCCGGAGGCGTCCTTCAGCTGGCCCCTAAACAAATATATATACTAGTTCAGTGATAATGAACGCCATACTAAACTCCAAATTGTACACAAGAAACTAAAATTAAAAATAATACAAGACTAACAAAGGCTAGAGGCTCCTGACTTGGGACAGGCGCAAAAATGCGGCGGGGTTAAACATGTTTATGAGATCTCAACCCTCCCCCTATACCTCTAGCCAATGTAGAAAAGTAAACGCATAACAATACGCACATTAAAATTCAGTTCAAGAGAAGTCCGAGTCTGATGTCAGAAGATGTAACCAAAGAAAATAAACAAAATGACAATAATACATAAATAACAACAGACTACTAGCAGTTAACTGACATGCCAGCTCCAGACTTCAATTAAACTGATTGAAAGATTATGTCTTCATCATATGAATATCAGGCACAATCCTTCCCGTTAGGGGTTTAGTATCATACCATCATAACATATATGAGAAGAACATAACCCGTGTCATGCCAACAACTGGTTTTTAAATAAATGTGTTTAGTGCAGATGCAAAGACCCTATAAGTGAATCAATATCAACGCCAAAACTACTTGTTCAATACATGAGAAATTTTCAACTGGACATTAGGAAAAAGAAAGCAATCACTATTTTTTAAATAGTAAGCTCTTCACGATTTACATACATTTTGAAACCTTTGTTTTTAAATGATTTTCATGATATCCTGATATTGAGTTCATGTACGTTATTACGTGTTTACCTGATTAATTGATTCAATGATAGATGACAGATCAAAACCGCATCAACACAGTTTAACCTTTCTCTCATCGAGATAAAAACTGTCCAAACACCACACGTATCATAACAAATTCCAGATGCAATGAATATGCTGTTGTGTCTAGCACAATTAGCTTTTTTATGTAATAAATCGCATTTATAAACATCGTCTGTTGAAAGATTTTTAATATTATATTAATTCATTGGCAACGAGTACAGCTACCATCGCCATTAAAGTGAAAATAAGAGCAAACAAAATTATGAGCGTTGCTTTAGAACAATGACTAAAGATGGAACACTTTAGGTGTATTGAATGCTTTCTTTGTTTAAATGTCATATTGAGTGCACCCGTCATCAATAATATCACAATCTTTTTATTCAAATTCAGTTCTGTTAGATCTGAAATAGAAAAAAAAAGAAAAAAACAATAACCAGGGAAGAATGTAACTAATTTTTCTTCTATCGTTGTCATGTTGAAATGGTTCCTGATGCAGGTAAATCAAGAAAAGCTTCAAACGCATGAAATTTATAACGTGTTGTTTTTTTTTACAGCACTTAGTCGATACCTCTGCTGGTGGACTTTCAGTCCCCGAGGGTATCATCAGCTCAGTAGTCAGTACTTGAGTACTGACATGTCAGTACTTGAGTACTGACATGATTTATCACAAAATATCTAATATTTTGAACTTATACAGAAACTAAGGTTTAATCTCCATCGGGCACAAGAGGTCTTAGATGGATTAGGTTATTTGTTTAGTCACTTTTTGGTTTATAGACCTTCAACGTTTTCGGACCATAAATATCCTTGGATTTGAAATATTCGGCTTTGAGCGTTCCGGATGAAGGTAAATCCTGAAAAGCGCGTCGGACGTATGAAACTAAAAAAGCGTTGTTTTTGTTTTTAGCTCCCCTGGCTCAATGGGCCAAGTAAGCATTTCTCATCACTTGGCGTCCATCGTCCGTTAACTTTTACAAAAATCTTCTCCTCTGAAACTACTGGCAATATTTAACCAAACTTGGCCACAATCAGCATTAGAGTATCTTGTTTTACACATGTGTCCGATGACCCCGCCTGCCAACCAACAAGGCCGACATAACAAAGAATAGAACATAGGGGTCAAATGCAATGTTTGGCTTATATCTCTGAAACGAAAGCATTTAGAGCAAATCTGACGGGTTAAAAATGTTCATCAGGTTTAGATCTATCTGTCATTACATTTTCAGACGAATCAGACAACCCGTTGTTGGGTTGCTGTCCCTGAATTGGTTGTTTTAAGGACATCTGGCCGTTTTTCGTTATTATTTTAAATATTAATATAAAAAGAGATAAACTGTAAACGGCAATAATGTTCAGCAAAGTACGATGTACAAATAAGTCAATATGACCAAAATTGTCAATTGACCCCTTAAGGAGTTTTTGCCCTTTATAGTAAATTTTTCGTAATTTTTTGTAATCTTTTACAAAAATCTTCTCCACTTAATCAACAATTGGCCAAATAGAATTAAACTTAGCCACACTTTTCAATAGGGTATCTTTATTGAAAAACGTATCAAATGACCTTGTCATCAAATCGACATGGCCGTAATGGCTAAAAAAAGAACATAGACTAATTGAAATAGGTACACCGATACATACTTACACACAAGTTTAACAGTTAACTGATTACTTGAAAGTGACGAATTTAAATCTTCAAACAATTTAGCCACCACAGATCTATCTTGGCTATTTACCACCTATTAAATAAAACAAATGATAATTAGATTACTGATAGTATATTCGATTGACCTGTTTCATTTTATGTCATTAAGGGGCTTTTTGTACCTATAGACGACAGCGATTGATAGAGGCAGAAAGGTGACCTTTGGTTTTTTAAAACATTTTTGGATTCTTTGTTATAGTTGTCATACCGCATCTCTTTATTTTTATATATATACACCAGTCTAAATTTGTTTGGGAAAATCTGCCTACTCAGAAAAGAAACATCCAGTTTAATTTCAAACTTGTTTTTCTTTGCATGTCTAAACAAAGCACATGCAACAACAAGAGGAAACAAGAACTGAAAACTCCCGAACCATTTAAAGTATGTGAAATATGAATATAAATAATAACATGAATAAAAAAAAAACATAGCTAATAGTAAACTATTGCTGAAAAATATTAAGGACAGCCAATATAAAATACGAGTTTTCATGCTTGCATTTTAATCATGTTAAAATCTTATTTTTTCCTTATAAACAGTACAACTTGCATCTATCAGAAGTGAACTCTGTGATCTCTTCTTCAGAATATAATTTACATCTTGCATTTCGAGTTTAAATGATGACCAGTGCAATCTGAAAAAGAGGTAAATATAACACAACTAACGGTAGTGATGCTATGCCAAATCATTTGACATAGCTTATAAACTATGCTGTATGAGTAACATGATGGGTTATACATGTGGAGCAGGACCTGCTATCTCTTCTGGAACAACTGAGATAATTTTGCATAGTTCTTAGTTTTGTATGTTGTGTTTTGTACACTTTTCTTTTTTTTTGTACTTTTTTCATTGTTTGCCACGACGTCAGTTTGTCGTCGACTTTTTTATGAGTTTAAATGTCCGTTTGGTTTTTTCCGCTTATATTTAAAAATAATGTGATGTCCCCAGTTATAAATTGGTTGGTTCAACTTATACATTTCAATGTTTTTGTGGTGATCTTTTACCTCATTCAAATTGACTTAACTATGTTTATTACCACCCGCCTAGTATGTTATGAACCCTGTTCTTTTTATAATTTATTTAATTAACTTCCACTGGCATTGCCAACACCATTCACATGTACACACCTTCTTCTGGCGGACGCAATAGTATACCCACTAGGACTCAATATTTCACACTTTTGCAAACCACATCTTTTTTCGAACCTGATGTCTGCCAATAATGCATCATTGCAGTCTTTGCACTGAATTTCAATTGAGTTCTGAACATCTCTTTCACCTGTGAATTAAAAAAACATCGTTTCTCACAAAAAAAAACAGACTATTATAAATTGATAGTTAATAAATAAAAGAACTAAAAAAGCAAAAAAAAAAAAAAAATGAAGGATCCGTGTGCTTGTTTTCGAGATATAAGCCATTAAAAATTTGGCGTCAAATAATTCTCTCTAGACTGTTCATGTATTTAACATTTGCACCCTTTTTCTTTCAAAAAATGCGAAAAATAACAAGAATTTTATATGATTTTCAATTACGCCTTTTTGAACTGTATGTAATAAAATTATAAAAAGAAAAGTAAGGGTTAGCGAGGAAATTTTTTTAATGGCACATCATGGATTAAACCAGAGGAGTCCAAATATCTGGCAGAAATTCAAAAATAAGAGAAGCGAACATCCTTAATTCTCGAAACGTGTTCATTGATTCTTAAAGTTGACACACATATCATCAGATGCATCTAATATGTTAAGTATCATGAGCATTTGCCTATATAAATTCACCTCTTTATAACCCGTTTTAATAAGCAATGGCCGTTAAGACAACACACAAGAACCAACGTGTACATTTTATCGGTTGTATTCACAATATGATATATGATGGAAATTTTGTTTTAACTGCCAATATTTCATTTGTCTGTCCAACGCAAGAAACAACATTCAGTCATTGTATATCCATATGTATGTGATTTGATGTTCGATAGTGTCTGTTAGATTTCATCAAAGGTTTCAAGTGTTACTGCAATTTAGTTCTTCACGTACCGAATAGCTAATGCTGATCTTGTAACGCGGACGCTTGCCTGTTTTTATATGCTTTTGATTCATTTACCAAATAAGTTGCTTCCTCGGTGAATTATAGCTGTTATTTTTTACAAAGAAGTTTAAGACGAATGTTCTCATAACACCATGGTGACTTCCTGTTGCTTGGTAAATTATTGTGCTTAGCGCAAAAACCGTGATCACAAATACTGCTCTTTACATTTTTTTTTTAATTTTCTATTGTTGTGTCATGATAATTTTGCCTCCGGTTTATGTTTTAAAATATGAAATGTTTATGTCGTCTTGAAAAAGCAAAACATTCTAATTTATTATTTTCGTTAATTATTTTTAACGCGATGGCTATTTAAAAAAAAAAAACATATATCGCAATACAAATTACCTTGTTCATATGAAAATGTTATTGAATTCTGTCGACCACTGTTAGGTCCAATATCACATTTTCCTAAAATAAAAAAAAAAAAAAAAAAAATAATAAATTTAACCTCATACATTTCCCCATATTTTATTCTTGTTAATATTTCTCTACAATACCTTGACAATAAATGTGTTGCTTTATTATATCTAGACTATGCACTTTCAAGACCGTTTTAATGTCCGTCATAAAACGCCATAAATAAACTTTATGCCTTCTAATTTCCAGTAGGTTTTATTATTGAACGATAAAATCGGCACAGAGAGTATCCGACTAAACCATTGATATACAACCTACACCTTTAAAAATGTTGTATTTCAAATTATTGCGAGTATTGATATACTCATTTCGGTACGTCTGCCTAAAGTTAAATCATTTAAAGAAAATATTCTGCTGGCTGGCCTTTGTTAGTCTTGTATGTTTTTTTTTTTAATTTTTGATCATTTTTATGTTTTGGAGTTTAGTATGACGTCCATTTTCACTGAACTGGTACACGTATTTGTTTAGGGGCAAGTTGAGGTCCGCCTCCGGGTGCCGGATTTTCTTGCTGTGTTGAAGACCCATTGGTGGCCTTCGGTTGTTTTTGTACTCTTTGGTCGGGTTTTTGTCTCTTTGACACATTCACCATTTCCATTCTCAATTTTATAATAAAGTTAGATAAAGTTATGTTTACAGAAATAAATAGCATGGTAAATATATTTACCAGACAATAGATGTCCTGAGTTATCTGAAAAAAAAATGCAAAATACAAAAGTTAAATCCCAATAAGACTAGTTAAAATAATTCATACCATCACATTTTGATATACATAAATTGAGAAAAATGACATGGCGATCAGATCAGTACCTCGCGTATTTCCTTATGTCTGTTTGTAATCATTTTTTGTAAACTGTCCTATATGGGTGTATACTTGGTTAACTTTTTCGTATTGTAGAAAAGGCAAATACAAGATGAATGTGTCCATGGGACACAGAAACACCGACTTGTAAATATGCAAGAGTCAATGTACTAATTCAAAGACGTGTTGTTATCTTTAGATCTTAAGAGTATTAATTTCTTGCATTTAATTTTGCAATGTTTCATTTATAAAGGGACATAACACAAGAAACGTGAAAGTGACAACATCCAAAATTCGAAAGTGAATAATGTTTGGTGGTAAAAAGCATCTTTATAAGTTACAGAACATTTTGTGGCAAAGCAAAATTATAGTGTGGACACCGCAAATTCAGCATCTTTATTTATTTATAAAGGAACATAAATCAAGAACGATTATAGAAATGCCAAATTTCAACTTGGTCTGAGTAAGTTTTATAACATTTCGTAAAGGCAAAATAAATTTCAAGGGCGGAAACGTCAAATTCAGCAAATCACTTTAGTATCTGTTTATAAAGGATAACAACTCAAGCTGTGAGAGTCACGCATCCATAAATGGTAGTTTTCATGTTTCAACGGCTTTCAGTTTCCCATTCGTGCAATTTCCCGTAAAATCATTACATTCTTACGTCATCGTTCAATGAAGTCATTTACATCATCTGACGTGAGGTAAATCATTCATGAAAAGCATACGAAGTGGGAGTAGGATTCGAACAGCCCGAACAAATCATGACGTTGCCTATCATCTAACATATGAATATATTCGAGTTTTACCACGGGTTTGTACTCAAAGCGTTTGAAGAACGTCATATCAAAATTATAAATACTCTTACTTTCTCTGGTGTATGTCATCTTGACAGTGTTCGTTTTCCCCAGATCTTTGAATGCTTTCGGTTGTCTCTGGGTCCTCGACATCGATATACAAGTATATCATATACTTTAATGTCTGCCCTAGTGGTTATTATCAATTACATAGATATATTAGGATTTAAATACATGGCATGATGTTATAAAACATTGAATATAGATATTTATCTTAATATGTTCGTTGCCATTGTTGAGTTTAAATATAGGACCAATCTCTGCCAAAACTTCCTGATTGATGTATCCAATGAAATCTTTAATTCACATGTTTAATTTTAAAAGGTGTTAGTACATGTTTAAATAATAGGATATAAACCATGATCTTTCATTACTTTATTGTAATTGACACAATTTTGAACAAGTCGTAAGCTGTATGTCAATGATTTTTGCATGTTATGGTATCTTTTTTTTTTATTATTTTATTTTGATGCTGATCGATATAGTTTCTTAGAACTAAAAACAACAGGATTGACATATATGTTTCTATCATTGAGCTTGGCTGAGTTTTACTATTCAAGTGCAAAACGTGCAAAAAACAAAGACACCAAATGAGTGTTTATAGAAGCATTACTGTGAGGTCAAATGCAAATACATCCCAATTTTTATTTCACGAAATATTTTTACACTCAGATACAATATATGTCCGGACGATTCTATGTAAAATGGTGTATATAGATCCACGATACTGCACGATCAGATAGTTTTTTTAATGAAAGTTTCCATTAGGCCACATTGTATCGTTTACAGGTTTTGTTCATATATCAGAAGATCTACAATAGGCTGTTTTGTGCATTAGTTTTCAAATGCATCTGAGTACAAAAATGTATGTAGACAGTGTGCAATTAATAAATGTACGCTATCCTTCAGTTCTTAAACTACAAATAAACTACGCATCTTTTACTCTTAAACATCGTCTAAAAAGAGACGGCAATAGTGACATTCTTTAATTGTGAATTAATACTCTTCAATCTACAAAATTTTGTGTAATCGTAAAAAAATATTTGCCTCTTGAGGATCGAAAACTTCATGTTGTCTTTGTGTTAAAATCAGATTATCTAAAGATAACATGATGGTTTTCAATATATTTAATTTGGGCAACTGATGTTCACAAATCATAAATCAATTAGTAAAGGTTAAAACAAAATTCGAGTGAATTGCATGAACTCCAAAAGGCGTCATCTTTCATATTAAGGTTATCGTATAATGAATTCAAATTTCAAACATCTTCCGGTTTGCCTCTTAAGCAAATTTTAATTAGTTTAGCAAAAACTACTGGATCTCTGGAGCGACGAAACCAATTCGTACTTTTATTTAAAGACATTTTGGATACACGGAGATGTATCATGTTATGAATAAAACATAGTCACTTAAATACTTGTATATTAGACAAATCGCTTGTCTTGATAAGAACTTAAAATATCAATCCGTTATATCCGTAGATGGTGTCAAGGTTATTTATTCAGAAAGATTTCTTCTCAATTTATATATGCCCCCGGATGAATTACTTTGTTCTGATGTTTTGTTTAATTTATGTACATTGTATGTCGTTGTTGTTAGTGCCATTCTTTAAGTTTTACAAGTTTTGATTGAATACAAGACGTGTCTGTATATACTGTGTTATTCTTTTACGGAAATAAAGCATGATGTTCTCGAACATTTCTTGTTTCATATCACTGATTCACTATTGAAACATTGACATCTTTTTTTATATATACAAAATGAAGAAGAATATGTGGAATGAAGTCGTTCTAGCTGTTTGAATCGTGTGTTCAGTTTTATATACTAATACAAATACTGGATGATAAGCTGTGTAGAATTAATGCGCAACTAGAGTTTACCAGATGGAGCTAACAAAGAAAAGACGTGGCTTAGTGCAGTGTTGTTTAAAATATTAGTATGTAATTTTATTTTTCTAAGTACACAGTTCCTTGAGAATAGATATACCGATATGAAAATAACGGTTAGTGGAATTATTCCCAAAAACGAAACTATCCCTGAACGTCATGACAAATATATATATCTGTTAAAATTGAAGGTCACCGTACGGCATCCAACAATAAGAAAAACCAATATCGTATATCATGATATACATTGAGGAAACATTTGTTTTAGTCTCATAACTGTATTAAGAAAACGAATTAAAGTAACAAACACAAACTGAGGGAATCGCATGAACACCAAAAGGAGCGAAAACGGGTGCATCGATTATGGGGTGCGCAATACATGCACCATCCGATAAATAAATCCTCTCACAGTTAAATATTTCAAAAAGACACAATCGGCAATATTACAGACTATACTATACTTAGACTACGGGAACTTGTCACCAATGAGTTGCGACACGGACATAGCGTATCGGCTATTGTTTGGTTTTTAGAGGAAACCTCTAGAAAAAGAAGTCTGTAAAGTGTGGACAAAGGCTTGAGATAAATAATCGCAATATTGTGTTTACAGGGGACAGGGTACTGCTGAGAAATGGTTATTTGACGATTAAAAAGTTAAAACCATAACGTGTTTTTAAGGTTCAAGGGTCGTCAATTTGAGTCAATATCGAGGAAAAGATAGAAAGATAGGAAGCAGACCTTCTAATTTCGAAAGTACACCAGTGTATTGGATATATTGGACAAAATAACTCATTGAAATGTTTTGTAGTGATTGACAGGAAATAACTAATTTATGTGAAAGTGAAAATGAAGAACTTGGGAATCTTTGTTTTGTTTTTTAAAATGAAATAAATTATGTGCGCACGGAGAGCTTTTCTCGATTTACCTTCGGCTGGAACGCTAAAAACTAAACGTTTAAAGTGAAGTATTTGTAACTACGTGGAAACGTTAGGAGCTAAATTACCAAAACAGAACTTAAACATAAAGCCAAAATGCGATCAACTTCGCTTTCTGGAATTGGAACCTTAGTTGTTTTTTTTCTTAAATAATGTTTTCATTTTTGAACAGGGACTTAAAATACGTACATGTTAGAATGCATATCAGTATCAACGCACTGACTACTGACCTGAAAGTACCCTCGGGTATAATTGTCAACCAGTAGCTGTATAGACCAAGTTACAGAAAATGAAATACGTACTTCATTAATATTGTGTGTCATAACCGCTTCTCCGGATTTACCTTCATCAAAAATTCTCAAACATAAAGATTGTGAAGCTTGTGATGCGCAAATACCCTGAAATATATACGACTTTGTATGACCTTTGCATCATGTGAGTACAAACACGGTAAGTATCGGTATACAGTTTGTACCCATTTGAATACCAACTATGTTTAAATTTCATTCAACCAAGATTCAACAATAATATTGTTGATTAAAAAGTCAAGAATTGTGATGGTATTTACCTTGGTGCATTTCTCTTTTAACTCAGCAATGTTCTTGCCTATAAAAAGGTTCCCAGCTGAAATAGGGGAAACAAAAAAAAACTAACGACAATGATCAAAACAATTATTGGAGAAGGCAACAACTGACAACCTCTTAATTACCATTTCCTCGATTGTGACAAGCAAATAACGAAAACATCGGGGTTGAGCATTTTTGTGACCACGGAACCCTTACCCTAACGTGGAACAGTAGTGTAGAAAAACAACACAAAGGCAAGCTAAAATTCAAATGGACAAGAATTTACGCATCTGGTCGTTATTTAACACAAACCAAAATGACACAAAAGTATCCAGTACAGATCTCTAACAACTTGCAGCGACCTTTGCGTAGCTCAAAGACAATTGTTAATTGATATACCACAAACTTCTTCCAACACAAAAATTGTAATGCTAAAAGGATAGATTTGTTTGCGGTGTACATTTATTAACATCTAAATGATCTACCCGCAATTAGTTTTAACCGTGGATTAAATTCTGTTAGAAAAGACGTAATACATTATATAATTAAAAAGAGAATAACGCATCAATGACATGATCAGATAGTAAATGAATGCTAGAGAAAAGGACTAAAAGAAAAAAGATATATAATAATAGCAAATAGAAGCAAACCAACTAACTTAGTTTTCCTCTTATATTTAACATAATTAGCGTATGTCATCATAGTACACATATCTGAATAATTATTTAAAAGTGATTGTTTAATCTAAGTATTCCATGGTGCTCGAAAACGCTTCCTCGACATTATCTGCCTCTTCGTCTTTATCGATTGCTCTTAAAGCTTCTACAAGATTGTGAACTAATCTTTCGTTGGGCCGATTTGGTCTCCATGTCGGAAGAAGTCTTTCCCTAATTGTTCCTTCATTTCTTAATCTGTCCATCCTGTTTGTAGAAATATTTAAATGTTGTCCAAGATTGTAGCAGTTCTCTTCACTCAAGGTACTTACAATTCGCCGAAGAGATTTCTTTCTGAGTACTGGAATGGTACCTGAATAACAGAAAGACCAAGTTATCCAGATGCAATAATTCTTTTTCTATCATTCATAAAAATATGAAGATGTGGTATGAGTGCCAATGAGACATCTTTGTCAATGAAATAAGCCTTATTACAAGTGTTGACATATTCCTAGATAAACGTTTGATTTGAAATATAGATATGGAATCAAATTATATCAGATGCATTAATTACAAGCACAACATGTTATCTTTAAAACAAGCATAGTTTAATAATGTTGTATCATTGAAGATGATTGAAGCAATGAGTTAACACATAAGGAACACCAAAACAGAATTACATGTTTTTTGTTTTTTGTTTTTTGTTTGTTTTATCAGACAAAGATTAGGCAAATGATACACATACATTGTATATGTGATTAACCCATTTAAAAACAAACATAACACTAAAAACACGCTACTCTTTACTGCTAATCAGTTACAATTAATACAGATTATTACTTACACTGAGGATCATCAGGGTCAACCATTACATTAAACGAATGATCTGAAATTAGGAAATTAGTTGATTTTGTATAAAAATGTGACATGCTTTCATAAACAAGATGTCTACAATTTGACAAACCATGATATATTCTGGAATCTTTCTGTTGTTTCACGCAAATCATTGTATAAAAAAAACCCCGTAGTCATGTCATTAAGCTACTTTTATTTGTCCTTATTCAATGTCCAAATGCCTGTGGATTCTCCATTCTTGGTTTTGAATAATATTTAAATAAAGTGAAGTGTTTTTTTATTTATACTTGTTCTGTATTGATATAACCAACCTAACTAATCACGTGCTACACTACATGTTTATTGAATTCAAACTTGTCCTATTCATTGCTCATTGTCTAATCTTTGTATGCTCAAGCATAATAAACATAAATACCATGTCCATTTAGCACAGAGAGCAACGTATATGTTTTGCTTCTATGTGTCCATTTCCACAAAGAACATGATAATCAGAATAATCCAAATCAATGAAAATGCCTTGGCTTCTTGATATTATATTTGACGAAAGGGAACGATCAGTGATGCTTCAGGGAACATGGCACCTAAATAAATTGCAACGACATAGTTCCAAACACGGTATTTGTCTTGTTCTATTGAGATCAATTTAAAATTAAGGAGTGTTTCTCCCTTAGGCATAGTTTTAATTTACTGTTGGTCCTTTTCAAATCTATCAACTCTTCAACGTTTTTGTATTTTCAAATATATTGGCCTACATACTGATACATTTCATTGATACCGTTTTGTTGGACAGAAAATGATGGAGTCAAAAGTTTGAATCAAGATATTTCAACAGCGGCTAACTCAGATCAGAAATTTTGTTTTATTATTGTTGTGTCCGATGTTTGACTTTCTTTCTGTCACTACTAAACAACACGATAAATGAAAGTTTATTTCTTGGTTACGTTCTTAAGAAAATTTCTAAAAAAAATTACCTGAAATTTGTTTGTCTACAGGAAGGACTAGTTCTGATTTGAACTGTTTGTCATATGAAACCTGTGTTTCGGCTTCAAAGTGATCTATGGAATTGTGACAAAGATTTCCAAAAAAGCCAGACTTCACATTTACTGTCGGAACAGTGGCTGTTTGATGCTCATCGTTTTGTCTAACTACAACCTGTAACTCAATGTTAACCTCGCCTTGAATTGTAGATGTGTTTGTGTCATTAGTTAAATGAAAAGTGCGATGATTTCCGCTGTTTCTCGTTTTGTTTGGATTAAATGTAACAATGTGATCCCGATCTGTAAGACTGTCAGTTTCAATATTACCAGTGAATTTAATCTAGAGTTGAAAAGACAAGAACGTTTGAAAACAATACTAAGTTTATACAGGAACATGAAAAAAAAACATCATTTACATCTAAAAGAATGTAGTACAGATATATGATATTAAAGCTTCAAAGAAAGCAAACATTTGGTAAAAGTCTCCTCGGTTAAACAATTAACGAAACTCGTATGTGTATGATATAAACCTAATAGCTTCATGAAGAATAATGTAAATGCTTTTGAATAGAATGTTCTTTCGTTAAATATGTTCAGTGATGACTTTGGATTAGTGCATGCAGTGTATTTGCATGATTTCATACTAATGTATTATTAAGACACTAACTAATATTACTACGGGATTACGGTTTGTATGTCTGCTTATCATATGTTTATACAAAATATTTTGGGGAATCAAATATTACGCCTAGACACATATTTACCCTAAATGACTGATGTTCTCTCATAATACAATCTTTATATTCAACAGATTGTGTAATAAATCGTTTTCGTTTCCAATATTTCCTTCTGTTTTTTCCTTGACTTTTTAATGCACATTCTACAACCATTGATAATTTCCCGTTCAAGTCATTCTTGAGCATCACAAAAAATTCCACTTGTCTTTCTTTCTTTACCGCTTTAGTCGCAAGCAGTCTTGCTTTTCTGTGGCTTCTCCTCGATGTAGCAACATATCTGAAAAGCAAGGCAATTTTACAGTTACTATATTGGTAATCATGTATCGTGAATTAAAGAATGAATTAAGAACCACAGGGTGCAATAGTTAAATGCGATTACCAATAAAATAAAAAAGAATGGCAACACTATCAATATAGAAAATTAAAAAAAAAAGAAAAAAAAAAGATATATACTCAACTACTAGGTATAGAAAATACTATACAAAAGCGAAAGACATACCAACGTTATTATGAAAATGAACCCCTGATCAACCTAATATGATATATGCTGATATGTCAATTGCGCAAGTAATATCGGTTGTATGTTGTGAGCAGCAAAATAGGAGAAGAGAATCATTGACAACAACACAAGGAACACGTCTAAACTATGCATTGAAACCCCTTTCTGCATACCTTTCGCCAAACGCTGCTTGGTCCAAAGTGTGAAATGCATAAGCATGTCACACTTTAGAAATAAGCAGTCACTGATAATGGTCCTTTTTTGATAGATATACCAGACTAGATTCATACAATGTGGTCTTTGTACAGAAATCTCTTAACTTTCAACGATAACCGCACAACATATAATAAGCGATGTTATGCACTTATCTTAGAATATAGTTAACACTATATATCTGTTAAAAAAACCTTGATATTCCCAATATCTGTACGTTTTTTTGGTGTTTTATTTTTACGAAATACGATGACGAAATGTATAAGGAGACGTTTTGAACACTGGTTTAGTATCACCACCGCGTGTGCTTATACCAAGACCGGCTATTATCCTAACGCATTGCTTCTATTTATTCTGTTCAGTGTGTTGCACTGTCTTATAATTTTAATAATTCATGTTCTCCTTTTTCTATGTAATTATAATATGTTTTATTGGCAAATTTGGCCTGTGTTTTGCTGTGTTATAAATGGAGTTAATACATATCCTTGGTCCTGAAAAGTCTGAACTTGCACTATCATATCAAAATTGAAATGAAATTAGAAAGACCTGAACAGTGTTTCGATATTAAGGTGGCTGGAGTGTCTTCCTAGATCTTGGATTTTGAAGTAGCAGATAACAATTGGTCTAGATCTTTAATGAATGTGCACATTTTGAGAGTAGTATGTAATTCATGTGTAAGAATGTTCATGTTAATACAGAAAATTATATGTTTAATCATATTTACGGCTTATTTTCTAAAAAACACAATATTTTTGTTTGATTCATTTTTTTCAACTTTCTCACATAAGGGTAGATAACTCAAATAGTAGGGGAGATAACTCAGATAAAGTAATTTTTATAATAGAAAGTGTTGTGTATTTACCTATTTTAATATGTAACAAGACAACAAGTCCGGTGACCCCATTTTTTCTTTTCCTTATCTGAAAGCATGTTATAAGAGCTATCTTCTCACATTTTATCTAAAAAAATTCTTTGGTGTAGTTTTTTTTTTATCACACTAAATTGGATTTTCCATGCATACACTTTACAGAATCTGACAATTTTGCACAACCTGCAGCGTGAAAAAAAAAGTCCGGTGACCCATACTTTTTATTATATTTTGGAAAAAAGTATGATAAAAACTACATTTTGACAAATTATTAAAAAGGTGCATGGATTTTAGTTACCCCCCCCCCCCTCCCCCCCCCCCCCCCTTAAGCAATAAGCAAATAAGGATTTTTTTTTGTTATTATTAAACTGCCTTGCCATATCATCTTAACATTTGCAGATTGATGTGATTCTTTTTTTAAAAATCCCTATTAATATGTACACATGCAACAAAATTTAAATCTAACATTGAAAAATGGCTTGCGTCAAACATAACGAAATGTCGTTCCCTTTTCATAATTTCGCAAATTTTCCAGTCGTTTTCATCCGGAGATTCTTTGTGAGAAGACAGGATCATAATATCGTCGTCTCTAGGAATGGAAGAATGTATTGGCATTTTCATCTTGACAGGTTTATTTGGTTGACTTTTATTGACCATTGTTATGTCCATGGCATTTGTGAACAATACTGGTATAACATCATCTATGTTTTCAAGGTTCCAATCTTTTGTTTCGGAAATCTAGAATCAAATTATGAATTTTGCTGAACTAGTCAATCGTTGAATTAAAATGAACATTACTTAATATGCATTTTTTTAAACAACGTCTAACAACATTTATGAAACATATGATTGCATTTTCTAAATTTTAAGATTACAACGATAGACACATTTCTAGAATTATAGCCTGAAACATATCCGTTAAAACGAGGTTATATAAAATGATGAACAGATATCAAGTGTGTAAGCCAGATCCGCATTTCCTCTACACAATACCTGTCATTGGCGCGCGAATTAAAACATTTAAAGTCAAACTCAAATATGAAGTTGGAGAATATTAAAACCCGAAAGTTCCGAAATTTTTTTCGAAGGAATCTATGCATGGAGGCAAAAAACTTAAGGGTTTCCGATAAAAAATAAAGGTTTTATAAACAGAACGTGTACTAAAATCTACTTATTGTTTATATTTTTTTTCAAGACAAAAGTGCTGTCTACTAAACAGGTGATAATCTTGGAAACGAATCGATCCCGTTAAAAAAAAATAATGAAAAATACATTGTAACAGCCTTATAATTTTGTAAAACAAATAGACGCATATAATTGGATTGAAATCTTGTCGATTTGTGTATTAATTTTATTAAGATGCACAATAAAACATCCTGACATGCTTTTCCTTTTTACATGACAACTGCAACCACGTAAATTGATATGGAAACATTTCCGCTTGTATTACGAACTAAATATTTACCTTATACAAATGTTATGTGATATTTTGTGGAGCTTTCCTATGAAATATGAAGTGATATTTTAAAGTACAATGAAACTGACTTTTATTGAAAAACACTGAAAAATTATATACTTGATCATTTGATACCTACAAAAACCAATTAGAATAACCCGGCCCGTGCAATTAGTTGGAAAAATAAAGTACATATTAATTTCCTGCATAAGATGATATATGTATGATTTCAGGTTAATTAATATTTTACTGTTTACTTTTTTTCATTTTCTCCTTGCATACTTACATTCACTTTTAATTTATCAGCAGAGGCAAATGCACCTTCTGGTATTTCTATTTTGGCATCTGGTTCCATTTCTGGTTGGATGCTTGCAGATCCACGAGAAACACTAAATACCTCTGGTACCTCTTTTACTATAATGGTAAACTTGGAAGCTGTTTTCAAATTGACTACTACCGACACATTTGTAGTCTTAAATTAAAAGTTGAAAATAGTTCACGTAATCTGACAAGAAAAGAGTCTTAAAAGCAAAGTTTCAAAAATTACCTGTACAATAAACACCAATGGAATAGATGCAAATAGAGTATGCTAATGAAACATATCATCATAGTACATCATAGTTGTATGTATTGATAACTCCAATATATGATAATATTAATTGAATGTGCTAACGTCTTCCATCAAAGATAATTTTTAATTTAGTCAATCACTTTAACATCAGTCTCTCCATATAAGTATGAACTAATATACCGGAACTATTAATTTATTGTAGTTTGACGTATGAATTTAAAAGAAAGAGCTATTCAAATGATTATAATTAAAATTGAAATAATATGACTCAAAATCATACAAATTTTTGAAGACATACTAATTATGAAAATATTTTAGCTTACAGCTTTATTAACCATGTTAACGTTTTTGAGTTTTTTTTGTGCTGTTAATGCAAGGTTGAAACATATATATGATTCATAGTATAAATCATGGATTTTGGATCAATATGAAACCATTCTGATTAATAGTTAATAGTATCAATGTGAGTATAAAATGTATTAACAAAATAGCGATCTTCAAGATAAATGAAAAAAGAGGGAAGTCCATATAACACGAGAAAACTAAACGCCCAAATATATCTACCAACAGAACGGGTCGAATACAACTGACAGGTTCTTACTTGGTACACACAAATTTTACGACGAAAAAGGAAGTCAAATCAGGTTTTATAGTTAATGGTAGCCAAACCTCTCATTTCTATGACAGTTGTTTATTTTTTTGTTTTAGTGACAACATTATGTGAGCAAACAAAACTGACAAAATTGTTAACGTGGCAATAATTGGGATCCAGCAGCCACAATTGTGTTAACAAATATACCACACTACTGACTTCACAAAATCCAATAATAATATAATAAATAATTCACGTGACATTACCCATGTAATTGACGCGTATGTATCTAAACGACGACTTGACCAACTATGCTTAACAGATAATGTTCTATATTGTCAAAAAAATATATACCTCAATTATCTCATCGGTGATCGTCTCATCAATCTGACTAATGATATCAACTTGAACATCACCTTCTATCGGCAATATCATGACCTGTTCATTACATCTGGGTTTGCCTTCAACCTTTATATTTAACGCAATTTTATCTGGTTTCGAACCCCATGCTATTACCTCAAAAAGATCGCTAAATATATGTTCATTTGGCTTTAACATGAAATGAACATTTGTATATTCTGTGGATTCTTTAGCAATATACAGGAAAAAACTATCAGTAATGGTAACTGTATTCAGTGTAATACCTAGCCTTGAATAATATTGAATATTGCCTTGAGCTTTGATATGCTTAAGCTTGTACATAATTGACCTGAAACATAATAGTTACATAAAGTAATATGATTTCAAAATACATACAAAAAAACTAACCAGTTCGATTCAGGAAAACATGTTTTGTAAATATGCTGGTTCTTTTTTTTCCACGGAAGGTTAGGTCATATTTGGTTCTGTCAACAATGCAAACGACAAAACTAGTTCTACAATATTGTTTTTTTTTCATAATGATGACCACAATGTCTATTCTAACCTGTACATTACATAGATCATATTTTGTTCGAACGTCACTGGTGAGAAAATCATCGTACTAATTATACATGTTGTCAACCTGGTAACTTTGTTGACGTTTTGAGTGTGCCAATTTTGTTGATACGGAACACTTTTTTGGTTTAAATGTCACCAAGCCTTCATCATTCGAAAAACAAGGATATAAAAATATAATTGCGTTAGCATACATGTATTGTATAAATATATTACTACAACAGCCGAATGAACAATTCATTTCAAGTGAAATTGAAATTTGTTTGCTTGTCCTACCGATCTTTTTTCTATTAAAGTTATAGTCCTGATTATACATGACATTTTTTAGTCGCAAATTATCAATTAAAATATAAGGACCTTTCATTTATTCGCGAGTAATAACTAGAAACAACTAAAAAGCAATTGTCCCATCAAGCCATTTAATACCAATGAACTTCTTTAAAAAAAGATGATCATGAAGAAACAATATAAAAAGATGAAGCCAACAACATGAATAAATACCTTTCTGTGTAAAAGTAACAAACTCACCCGAATTCCATTGCTGCTAATCTGTCATTTTGATCCAGGACTAGCTTTATAGTTGGTCGTTCTTTTTTATCAAATGAGTCCAAATCAACCGTAAAAAAAGTCCAATCTTGTACCAAAACCTCGGTTCCGAAATAACATAATAACCTGATTAAACTTGACTCTTTATTTATAAGTGCAAAATCTAAAGCGCTCCGACCATTCTAAAGAAAAATGAAACATGAACAATAATACTAAGTGCATTTCATTCATTCTGAAATGTAATAATATACTGTGTGCATTGAACATTAATGTAGTTCAATTTCTACTTAACAATTTGTGAACTTTAGATTTTATCTTAAGGCGATTATTAAATTACAAAATCACGTGTGCTAAAACTTCTGCATAGTTCGTTAAAAAGCAATGTAGAAAAATGAATAACACTAGCATAAACTTTTTTGTTATACTAACACATTTGTTGGTAAAAATTATCTACGTTTTCGCACACAATAGATATACAATACAAAAATATTCTGTCATAAATTATATTTATGAATACGAACACTTAATTGGTCTTACGATAACTGAAAATATATGTTTTTTTAACGCATTTAGGAAAATTAATGTCTACCTTTTGATATCTTTAGATGTCAGGAAAACAAATATCATCAGTCGATTGTCTCGATAATACAAATGATTTTGTCCTATTTCAAGTTTTTGATAAACACATACCGTTGAACTGTGAAAACCTTGCGGATGTGCTATAGATAATTTTGTGGGCTAACGTTGCTAAAATCATTCACATTTTCATATCCGCAGTATTAGTATGCATTCAAGGTCATTCATATATTTCCTCCGAAATAATATATGGAGAAAAAACGGAAGAAATATCCGTTTTGTTGTCCGAAGTATCATCAAGATAATAATTATTATCACAGGTTTGTAGAAAGAGGAGCCTTCCGATTTTTTGATTTGCAGATTTGAATCGCATTGTAGTTGGTGTTTTGTAAACGATGATACTTATTTGGAAATTTAAAATGTATGTTTTCAAAAGCACAATAGTAAAATACCATACCAATTGTGTACTTCAAAATTACTAGAAATAAATGCATTTTTAACACCAAAGACATTTATTTAGAACCATGATTTTAGTAAAAGTCTAGGCTTACACAAAAATACTCCTAAAATGGCACAATAGTCGAAGACAAACTCACAAATGAATATCGAAAACCAAAAAAATGTACTAAACATTTTAATGAATATTTATAAATTAATGTTAACTTAATCATACATAAATAGTTTGCTTTTTTAGCATTTTGCATTGTATAAAATTCAAGTTAGCCTACATAGCTAATAATTAACGGAATCATTTCATACCACAAATGTGGCAATGCTCAGAATTATTAATAAAAATAATAACCCACCTTATCAATAATATTGATATTGGCACCATATGTTACTAGTGCAACCAAAGCTTCTATATTTTTATTAATAACTGCAAAATGAACTGCTGTTTTTCCATCCTGTTGAAAATAACGTCTATACATCATTTAAGAGGTATACATAGATTGATCAATAAAACATGTAAAAGGAGATGATGGGCATATGCTTTAGAAAAAGACAAAGTGTTAAAAAGATATTTTATATTAAAATGGTATGTGTCACATCATACCAAATTGTGTTAGGTAGTTCAACTGGAGGATTTACATTTTACAAAGAACTGTTACAATTCGTTTAAGGTCGTCTCCTTCAAATGCTGGTGAGTGTTTATTATTTCCAACACTCTCAAATTTAATATGAACTGTCATTGCGCAAACTTATCGTTTGCCTTTTTAAATGCTCGATCCTTAATATTGAATAAATTCAATTTCAAATTCTTGTGTAAAATGTCAGAGCAAAACGTATTGCCTTCAAACTGCTTAGTTTATATTTATTACTATCCTTCTACCTTGAATCGACATAATTTTGGAAAATTCCTCTCGACTGTAACTAGAAGAATCAATATCTCCATCTGTACTTATAGCAAACGCATTGAAGCACAGTAACGCAACTTTTTTAGACTGCTTAGTGATTTGTGAGTCTTTTTGTCGCAAAATCTGCTAAATGTTGAGGTGGCCGCCATATTTTCCAGACGTCAACAAACGATATGACATAACTAGCTATTTATTATTTTGACTTGGAAATATGCGCCTATTTAAACAAGTTAGTTTTACTACACGGATACATGGAGTCCAGAATAATTTATTTGCCTACACGCATATTCCCAAACAGTTATTTAGACTACGCGTAACCTGCCAAGGACAAAATGGGTTATTAACCTTGACGGAATAAAAAAAAACGTACAGTTATATCTTTATAATGTCATAAGTGGTTACTATAGTAAAGTTAAGGATGTTTGCTTCTCTTGTTTTTCATTTTTTGCCAGATATTCAGAATCCTCTGGTTGTATTCATGTAGTGTCATTAAAAAAGGTTGCCCACTAACTCCTACTTTTCTTTCACTAATTTGATTGCATTTAGTTTAAAATGTTATCTGTGAAAATCTTATAAAGTCCTTGTTATTTTTTCATGGTTTTTGAAAGAAAAAAGGTGCCAATGTTAAATGTATGAAAAATCTAGAGAGAAGTATTTCCCGCCAAATTTTCAATGACTTATATCTCGTAAACATGCACACGGACCCTTAATTTTTTCTGCTTTTTTAGTTTCAATATTTATATACTATCAATTTATAACAGTGTTTTAAAAAGCTTGTCATTTTGAAAAAGAGTAGCGAACATCCTTAAATGATATGAATTAATGGATTTGAGGAATATATAGACATTAACACAACGTAATAAAAGCAAATAAGCATAAAGTTGAACATAAAGAATGAATGTGTAAAAGACATCAGGATTTACAACATAACTTAAACTTTACATAAATATCTAACCTATATCACATACATATAATGTATTAGTACTATTTATTGATTTCTCAATTCTCAACGTTGATAAACACATATTTTTGAATTGAGAACAAATTTTCATTCCGATGACAAGTTAATGTGCATCTTAAATATTTATTAAGGCTATTCGTGGCACTGAAACAATTTCAAAACCCTGTTTTCTCGTCACTCGAATGACTTCTATGGAAGTTGATGACATTTTGTGTGCATACGACGACATTTTGTCAGAAGATAACTTGAGTATAAACCGAAAGGCTAATGGTTATTCACCTGATCATGCTGATGAATGAAAGGATAATTCATATCAAATTGTAAATTTTAGATTTGATCGCCATTCCTTGCATTTAATTGAAGATTAACTTTATTACATCATGTTATTCGATAATTGCTTATTACACGTGAGGTATAAAAATCATGTTTGTTTCATCCTGTTTTGTTTTTACATTTTTAAAGGACCAAAACACCAAAACTTCTTCCTGTATCTACTAATATATGTTGTTATGGTACCAACCTTTCCACCATTGTCTAAAGTTATCACACTTTCTTCAAGTATGCTAACTATTACATTCACAAGTCCCGCTGCACTGGCATAATGGAGAGCGGTATTATTATGCTGTAGAAAGAAAAGAAAAGTTTAATAATAATTATCTCATAAACTTAAAACAATATCGTTTTGTAAAACTGAGTCATGTTTTTTTTTTATTATTATTTCTGTCTAGGAATTTTCTCGAGACTTTCCTTAAAAAAAAACAATGTTTTAAACAGTTTGAAATATTTTCTATTGAACTAAAGTTATAACATCACATGCTAAAATGGCGATTATTTTTAAGACACTTTATGGATGTGCAACATACCTATCTTAAGCTATATATATAGATGCGTGTAGGGCAATTGAAAAAGTAAGGTTGGAACTCCATGAGGCTGTTAACCTAAAGTTGATATGGATTTTTTCTAACGGATCCTTTTTTCATTCTTCTCCTCCAGCATTCAAATATATACAGCTTTTTCATCATTATTTTTAACTTATTTTGGTATAAAAGTGTAGGATGAAGGAAACATTCATTTAAGCGTTAGGCTAATAATGTTATTTATAACGTACCTGTCTCGAATTTTCCGTCGAGGAAATTTAGTAATTATGCAGAAACTAATGTTCCATCATATTGATGAGTGTTAATTAAAAAAATGAGGTTAAGAGGAATCAAACTCATAAAATTTTATAAACGTTCCCAAATATTCATAGTCGTTTCGACGATTGTTCTTTTTCAAACAAAACGTTAATTTTAGATTACGAATGTTTAGTTAATTCCATTCTATTATTCTATTATCCTATCAAAGTATTAATAGTTTGACTCTTCTGAGTTAACAATTCGTCCATTTAGAACATACGATATATGTAACGAACATGGCCTGTTTGTCGAGTTTATGTTTGAAAACATATGATGTAGCCGTAAAATAGAGTATAAGATACTCATATAATTACAAATTTTGATCGGCAATATTTAATACTTACTGCTACCCTTGCTATTCAAAGGTCTTTTATGAACTACATAAGCGTTTTTCGTGATATAATTTGAGAGTTGCTTACACATTTTTAGAACTGTTACGACCTATTGATAAATATTACCTCATCAACACAAGATGTGTCTATTCCATTTTCTATGAGATTGATGGCATTTGATTCTTTCTTACTTTTCACAAGAGATATGAGTTCCATCGATTGATCCTGCAGTAAATTTTCATCTTTTTTATAACAAACTTTTGTTTATACCCATGACAGATAGCTTAAGAACCAAGTCAGTTCATAAAGAATTAAAAATCAATAGAAACTATATTTAATAAATAAGATTCCCGAAATCAGCGTTGAATATAATAATCATTCAAATGCACAATATGTAAAGGATTTTCTACAAAAATGCCCCAAATCATCAAGAATGGCGAGTAAAGCATTTTAAAAAGTAATATAATTCGTCACAGAGCTTTCCCGAATATTCAACAATATCAAATTATATTTATATCAAATTTAGAGTAATAACGTAACGTTTATCAGAAATGTTTGCTATTTATGGCTTTTTCAGACTACTACAGTCCTCATCACGCTTTCCTTAAAATAATGTTTTTTATCTACAGCTATTTTTTGTTTCATATTTATAAACTTAATATCAATTGCATAACACAAACCCGCAGACGCTCATATAACTTGGTTTACCCTTATACCGGAAAAAATAACACACAAGTTAACAAAATAATTTTGTCTGCCAAACACATATCATATTTCGACTATGATGACTGCAAACAGATATATTTATCTGCAAACGATACAACATTATCGCCTTTTTTCTAACTTGTTCCGATTGAAAGGTCAGCAACAAACCTTAAAATTATGAAATTGGAAAATAATACAGTGTGATACTTAAAAACCGAGTAAATCATAATACCGGCTGAAAATTACAATCAATTACTGATGTATGAAGTCACAGTTGATATTTTAAACGCCTTTTCTAATACTGAGTATGACTTCATTTCAAATGTCAATCAGGTAATTTATACTATCGATAAACCGATACAATTCGGGTTTTTCACAAATAAGAACTAGCCAACTAATCAAAGTTACTGTAGTAAAGCTGGGATATAAAATCTGAATATTTGTGACTGTTTTATTCACAACACAATAACAAAAAACCCCTATCGATCTGATCTGTCATGATTAAAAATCCTTAATAATTTATACAATTTAAAGATCCTCCAATACAAGAGACAAATTATGGAATATATGTATACAGGTACACGCTTTTTAAATACATGTAATTACGGCTATCAGTCAAATTGGGTTAATACATATATTAACGAAAACACATGTTGTTGTAAATACGTTTGTTCAAACATTTATATATGAAAAAAGCAAACATAAAATGGGGTCTATATGAATAAACAAATGTAAACTTATTATATAGAAAAGGCTGTAAAACGCAGAGACGTTTGTATAAAATAATATTTGTGAAGTTTTAAATCGGAATGATATTTATGATGTCTCGCATGCTAGTTTATATTTCTAAGGAATAACTGCTAGTGTGTGAATACCTCTTAAGGACAAGAATTATTAAGGGTTTTATATTAAACATGTATGATGATCAATAAATGAAATGTACAAATACATGAAATAGTGTGGGTATTTTCAACTCGTTCTCAATTAAATTTGAAAGTGGTTTTTATTTAATATATGAGCATAATAGGTTAATATATCAACTGTTGTACATTCATGGTGATAATTCCGAAATCTAGTTTAACAAATCGAATCCTGTTTCTTAGCTGGTTGCATATTTGATCGAGTAACGGTCGTTTTATGCCAAGCAATAAATACAACATGCAAATGAGGAAGATATGATCGAAAATGAGTCAGGCATTTCCCTAATTTGGACAAAATCGATAAGATAAGTCATATTTTGAAATTATAGATCACAGCATAAAATACGTCATCAACGACGCTACAACGTCTTCATATCTATACTTGTATATTTCGTATCTTGCACATCGATGCCGAAAAGGAAATCCATTTAAGAGTCTCTGGTTTTCTTGATCAGGAAAGATTAGAAAAATTAATATAAATTTGGCAAAATGTTTTTTTCTTTATTTTTCCTGATTATAAACCTAATAATCTGATATGCTTTACACTGTCAATAATACTTTCAGGTTACATAAGCGCAAACATGTTAATCGTTATATAACTAAATGTATTACCATGTAGGTTCCGCTAACAGTTTACTTTTTGTTTTCATAGATGATATCATCACGATACCAAGTGCTCAGACCCTAGTAATCTGTCGTTAATTATGCAGTTTTATTGAACATATATGAAGTACGTGTATTCTTACTCTCCAAAAAATTGTTTAACTCGTCAAAATGTTGTATTGTAATGCTAACAAAACAATTTGAATGAAAGGTTTCAGAATTACGTCGAATAAATAGTTTTACCATAATCATACTCTATCATTTCACCATAATCGCACCAACAAAATTTACAGCTGTTCTGCATTACTATAATAGCATCACTTGTTTGTATGTAAGATAAGAATTGACTCTAATAATTTACAAAACTTGTAAGTAGTTATTAGTTTCAGAATTGATTAAGAAACAAAACCTTACCACTTAACCTTCGATCCAGACTGTTAACAGTAAATGATAATCCAAAGGTAAACAATGTTGTTACGTTGTTTTGTCTCCCGCTGATTTTATTTATATCTAGCGATTTAATTAAATGATCAAGTGTATATGCCAAACATGTATATTGTACCTCTAATATATATTTTAAACTGATTAAACTATGGTCAATCAACAAATTACTATGGACTACTTAACATGAAATGTAAAGAATGAACTTGTGTTATCACAAGTATGCGTCATTTATAATTGTACATTCTTCCATTTTTTAAAATTTTTTTTTTAACTGCTTTACTCCTGAATTTCCGATTGCTTCAATTACAACTTCGTATTTATGTAAGAATGTATTTCTCAATAATCGTAATGGAAAATAATGAATTAGAGATACGTTTAAAATATTACTTATCAAAACTACATGCGGTATACATGGTATATACTTATAAAATTTTAAATCCTTCCCCTCCCCTCTTTCAAAAAAATGTTAATAATACTGACAAAACCAAACTAACATCTGTAAACATATCAAACGAACTATGACGGAACTGGGGTAGAACTACTGACTACGAAAGACTGGTAGCGACATTGTATTGTTGTTTAAAAATTCAATTCAAACTTGATATTTTACAGTTCCAACTTGACATTTTTCAGTTTTATCTTGACATTTGTCAGCTCCAACCTGACATTTTCCAATTTCAACTGCCCAAATAGAAAAGAGAAATTAAAAAGCAATGTTCCATCTAGTGATTCTCAGTTATATATATAGCGGAATCATTCTAGTGTAATTTAGTCCTAAGCATTTGCCTTTTTTAATAACATGCATAACACGCGTAAAATGCAAACATAAACAAAAACCAACTGTTCGTATTACCTGAATAAATCTGTTTTTATAATAATAATGATAATGTTTGCTGTAAAAATAAAAAAATAAAAAACATAATACATGTAATGTTGATGTTATAGTTGTCCTTGTATCGTAACAAAATAACACTTATTCATTCAGATATCATACAAACAGCCGTCTGGAAAACATCATTCGTTAGTCGTTTCCTTCATTGTAAAAGTTACTTGGTCGATTAGACTATATAAATAACGTAAAATCAAAATTTAAATCACCACTATCCGATAAATAAGTGATAGTAAAAGTTCAATGATAGTTAATATTGATATTGAAAGACCTTCGAACAAAAAAGGATGTTGAGATCCCCGAGCCCGAAGGGCTAGGGGATTTGAACAGCCCTTTTTGTGAGGAGGCGTTTTAATGTTAATATTAACTCAATTATTGAACTTTTACTGACTTACAAACCGCCAAAAACATAAGAAAAACACACAAAAACCACTTGCAGAAGCCTAATTCTCCCTGAATTGGACGAGTCTAAATATATTCAACTTAAATGATAGTTAAACAGTGCTCAGACTGATATATACAAATAACAGTTACCTAATTGCATTGGAAACGAACCGATTAAATGGCATTTTATCATTTATTTATTTTAATTTGTTTTACCATTAAAATAACACCATAGAATACTTTTATAAAATTAAGGGGTAAATTTATATTTTTGAATTTCAACTTTTCAAAATAACGATTTTTTATTGTATAAATGAGTAAATCAAAACCCTATACAGACCTCATTTACAACTGACTAATGAATGTTCTGCACAAAAACTTCTTGTTATATATATTTAAGGTTTTTTATCTGTCAGTAATCATCAAATAGATTAGTAAAGACCAAACCATATGAACACAGTAAGTAGACTCTTCCAACAATTAGTTATTTAAACAGCTTGTTTCACAACTTCTAATCGAACAGACCTAGATGCAAAAGGTCCTTCACAATATTCAGGTAAATGTTCATTTTGGTTTTGATTCTGTAATTTTCCTACATTACGTTACATGCAAATGCAACATAATTAGTGTTGTCTGTTCAGTCCAATTAATTAATGAATTTTGTTTTGTTTGGTTTTTTTTTTAAATAAATAAACTATGCCTGTAAACTTTAATGAATAAAATCGTATTAAATAGCCTAAATGTAACATCTTTAGCATCAAGTTATGTAGGTTTGAGTGGCTCTATATATATATATCAAAACGTGTATAGATGAGATATTTTCGCAAGGTTGATCATCATTCTTAAATTAAAAAAACAATGTATTTTATGAAAACAAATACTTTTATTTTAGACATTCGTCATTCCTTTTTCACGTCTAAATGAAGCATAAACACCTTGAAAAAAATCGTTTACCTTTCTTAGTTTTATAATCGCCTGACATAATCATATATTATAAATTGTAATAAAAAAAAAAGAGATAAGAACCATGATAGTAAAGAAATATTTAGGAAAATAAAATTAAAAGCGTTCAGTTATGTAGTAAATTGCAAAACAAACATAACAAAATAATAAGAAACTTTAAACAATTTGCATTAGTATTGAGTGGTTTAAATGGAAATTTAACATTATAGCATTTAACAAGATCTTGTCTTCGTGTACTATGAACATGGAATAATTTATGAAGTTGATTGATTGTTGTTTGATTTACGTCCAGTGGCAAATATCCAATGCATGTTCACGACGAGAACACATACATTTTAAATACATTAGGTTGGTCTTGCAATTGGAGGTGGACAGTGAGGTTGGACGTGAATGAAACTTGGAATACCATTGGTAAGTGAGGGTATATTGAATAAGGACAGAAATTTAGCCTTGCAACAGCTGACTACATCCAGACCCCTCAAAATTGTGTGAGAGTTTTTAATTTGCTGAGAGCGTTGGTCCATGAAATCTACTCTGAAGTGGGCCATCGATATTTACGTGTAGTTTCCAATATCATTTAACTCATCTAATTTAGGTTAGATACTTTTAGCTCGCTTTAGTAACTGTAAGAATTCTGTGAAACTGTATTCATTTGGTTTATTGTACTTGAGATTTTGGTCTCCTGGTTGGTCTCGTGGGAGTGTGTTTGCCTCGAGAGCGGGAGGTTGTTGGTTGGAATCCCGACCGGGTCAAACAATGAAGTTAAAATTGGTATTTGCTGTTTCAACGCCAAACGCGCGTCATTTAAGAGTAAGAGCACAGACTGGTAAGCTCGTAGTCAGAAATGTGTCCGGGTTTGGTGTCTTTTCTTCCTGCGAACTGTTAGCCTGTGAAGTTACACGTTAAAAATCCGACTCAGCCTGTCGGTCTAGTACAAAACAGGGTTAATGTTCATATCATACTTACATGTTTTTGTTCTGAATATTCATTTAATTTGCCGGTAAATGATATAAAATCAAATGTGCTTGTTGGGATATCTTTGACGGTAAATATTATTAAATTAACTCCGTATTTTTTAGTCATGGGGCGGTTTTGAGTTGATTGTTCTGTATATAGGCATCTTTCCATGACAAAAGACTGTATGTTGAATCTTAATGTTTTGATTTGTCTGTGTCGTTGGGTTGCTGTCGCATTAATGTATACTTTTATCTCCTTTTATTCAAAACCAAAGGATTGACTTGGGTATAGAAATATTGACGTCTCTGGACTTCTACCGTCCGACAGTATACCCTTGCTAAAGTTGTGCGTCCGTTTGGCTGTTCGGATGTATAAATACGCAGCTTCATCCGGTCGAAATAGAAATGTCTTATATCCGATGCCTGGTGTAGTGAGAGTTTCACGCTATCTTTACTTTAAAGAACCATTTGAATAACTCTTTGAGGGAGGAAAAACGATCTGCGCACAAGTTCAATGATTGAAATCTGTAAAAATCTTCAAATAAGTCGCATGGCTGAATTTAACTCATTTGTTTGCGCCTTTTGGGATATCTATGACGGTAAATAATATAAAATCAAATGTGCCTATTGGGATATCTTTGACGGTAGATATTATTTAATTAACTCCGTATTTTTAAGTCATGGGGCGGTTTTGAGTTTATTGTTCCGTATATAGGCATCTTTCTATTACAAAAGACTGTATGTTGACTCTTAATGTTTTGATTTGTCTGTGTCGTTGGGTTGCTGTCGCATTAATGTATACCTTTATATCCTTTTATTCAAAACCAAAGGATTGACTTGAGTATAGCAATATTGACGTCTCTGGACTTCTTCCTTTAACAGTATACCCTTGCTAAAGGGGTGCGTCCGTTTGACTGTTCGGATGTATAAATACGCATCTTCATCCGGTCGAAATAGAAATGTCTTATATCCGATGCCTGGTGTAATGAGGTGTAATGAGAGTTTCACGCTAACTTTACTTTAAAGAATTATTTGAATAACTCTTTGAAGGGAAAATACGATCTACGCACAAGTTAAATGATTAAAATCTGTAAACAAAAACAAAGGTCAGCTTAATCTTCAAATAAGTCGCATGGCTGAGTTTAACTCATTCTTTTTGCGCCTTTTGCAAGGACAATTGTAGATGAAAAAAAATTAAATAACAAAAACGATCACTAAGACAATATCTAAAAAAATAAATGAAACGGCCAAACTAAGTTGAATTCTTATATAAATTGTTGCCATCATTTTTTTATCCATTTTTGCTTTTATGACAACTATTCCAGATATAAAACAAAACTTGACACAGCAAATGTTGTCACCTAGACAAAGACTGCAGTCGTTGTACACTTCTATATATGAGTAATTGCCACTCAATGAAAATTTATTTTCTGTTCTACTCCCCTCCTAGTTTGGCTGGATAGAACACAATGTAACCCCTGATGTGGACTACGTTATTTAATGTTAAACAAAAAAAAAAATGCACAGAGAAAGATGAGGAAAGAAATGCTAAAATCTAATCTTAAAAATAAAATATAAAAAATAAAATTCAAATATATAAACATGGGAAACTGACTGATTGAGACAATTATCAACTGAAAATTAATGATTATACATCACTATCTGATTAATTGGTTGCTCCTGTAATCTCCAGTGGCAAATATATCATGCATATTCACGACAAGATGCAAAATGGATCGACCTGAAGCAAATGATAACAGTTTTAGAGTGACACTTTAATAAAACAGCGTAAAACGTTTGACGTACTAGACTGAAGTTGAACCATCATCAAAATCGTAAGTTAGGCCATTATCATTACCCCCTCTTTTTCTCCACGGTAGACGAATGCCAAAAACAAAACGACATGAATTAACATCAATTACGCCCACTATAAGTAAATGAGATATGGACTTTTTTTGTAAATAAATTCCTATTGCTGCAAACATTTCCAGATTTCGTACAGGTGTGTATTTCCACTCAAATGACTGGTTATTGACCGGAGATATTAAATCAGCCAAAAGCACTTTGATTCTCTGAAATTGTCAATTTTAATATTTTGCTGGCTGTTTTTTCCCGATCCTATTTTGGACCCCCTGATTCTAAGAGGGCGTGTCTAATTAGTCATGCCCGATTAACTTTTAGTAAATTGAACCTCAACTTAAAGACCTACACCGGGTTAATAAGTTCGAGTTACAAAAAGTAAACGAACAGGTTTGTAATATACAGTTTTGAATCAGAATGAATACATAAGTCCTGATGAGGATTTGTTTCCATATATATTTATTTAAGCTTAAACTAAACCTCAAAGTCTGTCAGAACCTTGCTCCTCAATCGTTTTTCATGTTAACACTGACTCATTGCAATCAATTATAAAAGTGACATTTTTTTTTCCAATATGTACTGATATCATCTTTATACTGACCTATAAATACAGTTTTCTCAATTGCACGTAAACGTTTGGTAGCATTTAATTCATATTTAACAATGTATTGATATAGTTCAAATTTCCTTACAAAAGCAACTTTTAAATTATTTCGGTGTCGCAGCATAGACACAAGAACGATTTATCGTTTTTGATCTATTACATAGATTGCCAATAAGACAACCTTCCACCAGAAACCGCATGACGTACTATTGAGCCAATTTCGAACTGAAAGTGTCATTTCGAAATGAACAACTCTCAAAAGACTGACAAATACTAGTGAATCAGCCAATTTACAGACTGATCGATTGCTATACATTCAGTATTGTTCAGATCAAGATCAAAACTAATACTGTATTGTAAGCTATCCAAAACTCTAAGGTTTTGTTTACTACATTTAACTTGTTTTTGATAACAAACATTTGATATGGCTAATAAAGTACTTTTTCTGTTTTTGTCGTACTTGATATTCGTACTATAAAGTGTTTTTTAACTAACCTATATTGTCTTCCTTTATACAGCTTTTTCTAATCCTTCTGTTTGAGTATTCAGACTCGTAAAAACCGTTATGATGAAGTGATCTATGTATAGTATTAACCCTCGACTATTGTTGAAGACCATGTGTTGTCCTCAATGCGTCTTTTGTTTTTGTCTTTAATCAATCTGCCATGTTATCGCCATTTGTCATGTCTTTTGTGTGTAATACATGGATTTGATCATCAATTCTTATTGTGTGATATATGTATTTAAAAGTCATATAGAGGGATGTTTTGATCTTGACAACAAAAGAAATACCATTTAAATGTTCTACTCGTACAATAACAGATTTGAAATATTAGAATATAAGACAATTTGTTTTATCATCATAATCATCTCTTCACAATAATATGACTAAAAAATACAACCAAGTTCATCTTAAAGAACATTTTTCGATTATTTTTTCAAAATTAAATATGCCTGTGTCACTGTAGCGTGCATTAATAATCAACGACCATTTCTAACTTACAAGAAAACTCTATTTGTATATATATTTTTTGTACCTTCTTTATTGTGAACAGTTCTAAATATTTTATTGAAGCTGAAAGCAAAATAGAGAGTAATGTGAATTTAGCTTTACTTTCATAAGCATGATAAGTTCAATGAATAAATACATATTTTAAACGTTCCTAAATTTGTGTTTTAAATTAACTCGTTATAAGCTCTTATCAACTGATTTTGATAGTTTGTTTATATGTTGTACTGTTACACCGCTATCCCAGGTTAGAGGGAGGGTTAGGCGCCCGCTATCATGTTTAACCCCACAACATTCTGTATATACCTGTTCCAAGTCAGGAGTCTGCAATTCAGTGGTTGTCGTTTGTTGCTGTATATAATATCTGTGTTTCGTTCATTGTTTTTTTTTTACATAAATCAGGCCGTTAGTTTTCACGTTTGAATTGTTTTACATTTGTCATTTCGGGGGTTTTATAGCTGACTATTTGGTATGGGTTTTCTCATTGTTGAAGGCCGTACGGAGACCTATAGTTGTTAACTTCTATGTCATTTGGTCTTTTGTGGAGAGTTGTTTCATTGGTAATTATACCACATTTTCTTATTTTTATCATTATAGATACCAGTATGAAAATGTTGTACACCAGACGTGCGTTTCGTCTACAAAAGACTCATCAGTGACGCTCGAATAAAAAAAGTTAAAATGTCAAAAAAAGTACGAAGTTGCAAAGCTTTTGAGGACCCAGAATTCCGAAAGGTTTTGCCAAATACTGCTTAGGTTATGTATTCCTGGGTAGAAAAATCCCTAGTATTTCGAAAAAAAGTTTGTTGTAAACAAGTTATTTATAATAACGACCAAATCTGTTGTTTTTTTTTTTTTTTACAATAAGCATTAGCCCTCATACAAAATTAATGAATGTTTACATTATTACATTGAAATAATGTGTTGATTATGATTAATCAAATGAATATAAGTAGTATTTCTTTGCGTGGACGTAGCGATCAAATTAAATACACAACGATTAGAGACCCGTCATAATGTGTTGACCAGAGTAATTTTTTTTTGTCCATTGACGATTTATACATGTTATAAGAGTCGAAACAATTTGTTTAGCTCAAGCTCTAATGAATTCAAATTGTACACATGCTTTAACTAGATCCAACGACGACGAAAAAAATACCATAAACTGAAACAGGAATGCAGTAGACAAAAGCAAAACGAGGCATTAGTATTTTATAGAACTTACACTTAAACATATGAAAATACTTGTGGTTAATCGTCAAACAATAATAGGATAGAATGTTTTAAAACTGATTGGCTAAGTCTCAAGCTTGTCGGGTAATTTACAAAGAAAAATGAAGATCGGAATCTATAAGTTACATATAAGAAGTACATAACAGGACACACAAACACTCATTCGATGCTTTCAACATCAGCAATATCTTAGGGCATCAGTTAATAGTGCAAAATTAAACCAAAGACACACTAGATCTAGTCATCACGTATCCGCTATTAAGGTGTTTGAACTGCTTTTAAAAGGAGAATGAATGTGTTGGATATTAAATAAAATTAAAAATTAAAACTTGACTAACCAGTCTTAGAATCAAAGGGTATGAGACTACAAGTAACTGTATGGCATTTAACAACGAGTAAAGTAAGCTATATGATATATTACGGTTCTTTAAGCACATTTCTGTTTTTTTGTCGTCTTTGACATACTTTTAGTCGTATACTCAATAAGGAATATCTTGAAAACAGTAACACAAAAGTTAAGTTTAAATTAAGTTATTATTTTTTGAAACCAAATTGAAAAGAAGGATCTGTCGGTACGACACAACGGCCCTTGTCTGCAGCTTTACTACGAAACGTCTATCAACCGGCACTTATCTTTAAATCATTAATATGCATTTATGTATAAAAACTAGTTCAAGAGTTGTAGCTATAATCACATTTCTGAAGAATGAAATTTTCATATTTTTTTTTTAATTCTATAAAAAAATCTGCCATGCCGCCACAAAACAAATTTGATCTGTAAGTTATCATTACAAACTAGTGTTAAATCAGATTAATATAAAAAAAAAGGTCAGGACAACTTTGAATTCATATTATGCCAAAAGGACGGAAAACGAACATGTTAACTACTTGTCCGACTACACTTATGTCTGAGCCATAACAGATACAAAACTATCTTAAAAGTGACATTTGCTGTTTTGTTCATGCTTTCTGTGTCAAGTATTTATCTTCAGCGAATAAGAACAAGAATATCAGGCTGATATCCGGCTTCATGTCGCCTTTTTTCTCCTCATTGCAGAGTTCATTGTCAAAAGAATTTTTTACGACCTAATATTCAAATTGAAATATTGTCTGCTTAATTATCCAACTCAACCTTTCATTGGTGTTAATTAGTGTAGTGTTTAAGTATCGTCTACTTAAAAATGATCTAGTATTACTATTTGTATAAATCATTGACTGATTCGTATATGCATTCTATGTATAATGAAAAAGATCATATATGTATTAATACATTGTTGTTTATAAATCGTCATGTGTTTCGCTAGAACAAAAGAAATGTCATTTAAATACTCTACATGAAGTCCGATTATAATTGAATTGACAGAATATTATAATACTATTTTGTAAACTAGAATGCATGTTATCATAGACACACTATTCTATAATTGAATAAACAAAATACAATTATGTGCATTTAATGAACCCTCAGTCCCATCTTTTTACAAATGCATGAAACACCAAACATTGTGAATATAATAAATCCAATATAATGTAACTGTTGCGTAATCAGTGCATATAGTATTATGATAAATGACATGTATCAATCAATATAGGATAATTATTCGTTTAAAAGGGTATAACACGAACATCCTCAGTGAAAAAGAAGAAAAGACAGCTGGTGCTATTGATTATATTCAAAACGTATGTATTTTTAAAAAAATATACTAAATTGTGAATGAAATGGTTAATTTCAATTAATTGTGATATATGAATAAAAACAAAAATAGTAATAAAATATATGAGTTATGCTTGTTAAAACTTCATCTTGTGCGTCTTATTTTTGTAAAACAAAAACAAAATGAAATATTGGATAAAAGAGAAGCGACAGATACCAAACTGCCAAAGGAACATTTAAACTCGTAAGTCGAAAATAAACTGACAACGCCATGGCTATAGGTAAGTGTCAATAAATAAGAGGTAACAGTAGATTGACGATAAGAGAATGCAATGGAAAACAAACGGACAAAATATAGGGTCCACAGGATGGTAAATGTGTTATGGTTAATATGCATTATCCGCCAGCCCAATTCAGATTCCGTCAAATGTAATAACATGGAAAAATTAAACACTCGGAAAATATGGCAAGAGGATTATAGCGATGTCTTATAATCTAATATCGCAACAACATGTCGCACGTAAATACTCGTGGATCCGTCCTATAAATTCAAAGCATATATTATGAAGTAAGATTTTTTCCAATATTTATAAATAGAATCATGCAGGATGAACATATAGTATTATTAATCAAAAATCAATAGTGCAACTTTTTAGAACAACATTGATATATATATTGTGCATGATAAATTGTTCTTTCAGTCAGACCCATGTTACATCTCGCTGTCACAACTGTTTTACTATTCCAATACTCAATCCATGGACAATCTTCTGGTATGTTTTAAATATAAAATAAGGAAAACATGTGACTATGACAGTAGACATTGTTATATTTTTTTTATCATCCTCAAGACAAGCATATCAAACTTAATCAAATCGAATTTGCTGTGTTCAACACCACCTGTTTTATTTTCCACCATTAGCAAGGATAAAAATTGATTGTTCCTAAACTCTCACATTAAAAACATTACTTGCATAATCATCAAATTTGAAAGAAAAGCCTAATTGAAAAGACATTACTCTAGTCATTATCCTTTAGAAAGATTATGAAGTATTGTATAAGCAACACAAATAAAACAGATAGATTTTGATCAGTCCTAAACCGGTTAATATTTAATAACATAATATGTGTAAGTATGTAAAGCATTGTTTTTGAAGGTGACATTCGTCTTGTGAAAAGAAGGCTTGAGATTTTCTACAATTTTGAATGGGGAACAGTATGTGATGATAGCTTTGGTGACATTGACGCTGTAGTTGCATGTAAACAACTCAGTTACAGGTGTGTGCATGCTATTTTCATTTTGAAATGACTAAACAATGGTCGAAATAGAAATTGGAAACATGGAATGCGTTAAAAAGTCAACAACCAGACATAAGAGCAGATAAGATTTCAAAACCACCAATGGGTCTTCAGCAAAAAAATCCCGCAACCAGAGTTGAGCTACAGCTGGCTCTTGAAAAATAATGTATACTAGTTGAGCTAAATGGACGCCACACTGATCTCCGAAACATACATAGGAACCAAAATTATAAAAAAAAAAAAAAAAACACACACGACTAACTTAGGTTAGAGGTTTCTGATTTGATAAATGGTATTCATTTGGGTTGTTTTGGTAGGATGTCTTAAACATCTTTGAAGTAAAAAAAAAAAGATATATCTTTAAGACACCTTAAAAGTTTGACGCATGAAGACAGAGTATCTAGATGGAAAATAGAATACATTTGAAATATGCTTTTCTTTTTTGTTCATCGAATTAATTTCATTATATATAATTCTAGAACTGAATACAGTTTGATTAACACTTAGTAGATACACAAATTTTCTGTATAGACAGAGGACGTCTTTCTGCTCTTTTTAAAGAATTAAACTATTGATGTATAGCCGAAATGCTTTTTATGTTACAGTTTGCAATTACAAGCATTCATAACTATTTTGTCTTAAGTTCAAATAAAGTTACAGTCATTTCCTGTCAAAACTACATCTTATCCTGACTTTTGCTGAAATACTCAACGTACCTTAAATTGCATATTAGAGCGTTCTGGTTACTGGAAGTCTGGAAGTACAAAAGCAGGTACTTCTGCTCTGAACAACGGGAAAAATATGCCCTCCTATTTTAATTTAATATATTATGCTATTACTCATAAGAAACTTTCAACAAGAGTTCGATAGTGTTTCAAAGTCCTTAAGCTTTCATTTTATGTACAAAATAAAGGATATTGTACTTTTTGACAAATTTAACATATGTACTTCTTTCTTGAATGTTATTTCAGCCCTCTTTTATTTAAATGAACTTGCATTGCATCATTTCTGGACTGTCTTACTCATACCACATCTTCTTATTTATATTTGTGTCATATAATAAACACATATAAACGACTTTTCGATCACTTACTTGTACAAGATTTATCAAGACAAAATGCTTTATAGCAAAATACATCAATTAAAGAGAAACTGGTTCCGACAAACACAATGTTTTTCAAGTTTCTAGTCTTAGATCCCTGTTCTTCGAATACTTATTTCAGCGAACATTCTCACTGAATATGAATATCTGTTGATGATATGAAGGAGAGTTTCACGGAAAAAAGACCAATGTGTGTAAGAAGGATGACCTCTTGTAAAAGTTTTCCAAATTGCTTGATTTAATCTAAATTTGTATTAGCTTTTTTTTGTCTGGTTTACTTCTCAATGTCAGATGCGCAACCTTAATTAAACCGCTTCCTTGATGCATAATGTTGAAGGAATAGTATCATGTTGTGCTAAACATAAGCGAATAAACCTGTTATATCTTGCTGATAGTTGACAAAATGCATCAATATATAATAGAAATAAGGAATACAACTTTCTTTATTTATAGTACTGGAATTTCATTAGGTAGTGATGTCGATGATGGTTCTGGAAGAATTTGGCTCGACGATGTTAACTGTTTCGGAAATGAACGCAAATTGATTTATTGTGCACACCCAGGTTTTGGAGTCGGAAACTGTAACCATAATGAAGATGTAGGACTTTATTGTTTTAATATGACTGAAGGTATGCAATTAAATTGACTGTTTTTATGATAGTAGAGGGGCTTTATGTTTTCCGGTCCGTTCGTCCGTCCGTCTGTCCCGCTTCAGGTGAAAGTTTTTGGTCAAGGTAGTTTTTGATGAAGTTGAAGTCCGATCAATTTGAAACTTAGTACACATGTTCCCTATGATATGATCTTTCTAATTTTAATGCCAAATTAGAGTTTTGACCCCAATTGCAAGGTTCACTGAACATAGAAAATGAAAGTGCGAGTGGGGCATTCGTGTACTATGGACACATTCTTGTTTTTTATAATTTGCCAAATTATAACTTAACGCGTGTGAATTTAGATTGTGACACTTAGAATGGCGACATTTGATATCAATTGAATTAGAAAACTACAAATCTGACTTTTAAACAATCAAACAAAAGTTATATGATACTGATATTAAGTCAATATATTTGAACTTATATTGAAAACATGTTTGCTTGGCTACACGAATATGACTTACAAAATACAAGCATCATCTTATGGCAAACAGTCGTGTTTTTCTCTCCGACGATCTTATTCTGTATTCGAATAAGACTGGATTTATATTGGATCATCTCAAAAACAATGAACATAATATCCTCCTTATTTCATGCCGTGAAAACTATACAATATATAGTTGAGTCTACTTCTTCAATTGAATATGTCATTACCTAATTTTTAAAGATTTTTCATATGTCATGGTACACAAAACGGATATCATGCAAACCAATTTGAAACGCTGATTTCACATCTGATGTTGCAATTTTCTGTTTATTGTTAGTGAAAGTTTGACACTTTCATATTAATGTGAATTTATAATTTAATTTGAAGCTCACATGGTCAAAACGGCCAGTTTTAGCAAATACAATCTCCCAGCATTAGTGATACATGTACGTTCACCGTTAAATATATTTTCAAAATCTTCTTTTCTGATATATCCTGCAGAACTAGAAATTAAAGAAACAATAAACACGGCTTCCTCCGCGTCATTTTTAGACTTATACCTTGAATTTGACACAAGCGGTCATCTCAGTACCAGAATCTATAACAAGAGAGACGATTTTAATTTTGAAATTTCCCCCATCTTAGTAGCACGACACCAACTTCACTTGCATATGGGATATACATTTCCCAACTCAATCAGTATCCAAGAGCTTTCAGCTGCTACCCAGACTTTATAAAACGTCATCAGTATCAGAGCAGAAAGTTGAGGAATCAGGGTTATGTCAAAGAACGTCTCGTCCTTTTTTTTAAAAAAATCATCGGAAGATACCAAGACCTTGTTGATAAATATTCCGTATAAACTTCACAAATGATACACGCTGGTCTTGAAGTATAGATTCTAGGTACTGACGTTTTTTATCATCTTTATTACGTGTTATAGTGTTTTTTTTTTTATTTCTCTTTGTAAATTATTAACCTTAACTGTTTAGTCCATTTTTGGTGATATCCTTTTGGCGTGGCTCGGTACTTATGCATCCCACTAATGTATTGTTGGTACTCTTTGTCTTTCACTTTTTTGCATATGTACTCATGCATATGTTAAGATTATAACACAATGTTGATTAGTGTACCCCTTTTTTGACATTTTTACCTATTATGTCTGTTTGTTTTGTTCACACATTGTTGTCAATATAATGGAATTTTATGCGACTGTCATACAAGTGAGAGGATTAGCTAATTATAAAACCAGGCTTAATCCACATTTTCTACATATGGAAATGCCTATACCAAGTCGGGAATATGACAGTTGATTTCCATTCGTTTGATGTGTTTGAGCTTTTGATTTTGCCATTTGATAAGGGACTTTCCGATTTGAATTTGCCTTGGCGTTCGGTATTTTTGTTATTCTACTTTTTTCCAATATCATTCAAACTGTTGACAATCATACTTTAAAAATTGTGTTTTATGAACAAGCTGGTTTACTAACTTGCTAAAAATAGAACACAGCGGATTATAACAAGCATTATCTATAATCGTTACATATAAAGAAGACTTGACTGGGGAAAAATGTCAAGAATATAAACTCGAGACAGATATGGCCAATAAAACACCTACATGTATCAAAATGCTTTGAAAGTAAGCATGCAGCTATAAGTCACCGTATGACCTCCAACCATGAACAAAACTCATATTGCACACTTAGCTACATACAGCCCCGACATGACAAATGTAAAATAATTCAAACGAGAAAACTATTGCCCTGATGTATTTACAAAGCTATCAACGAAAAACAAATTAATATGATAAAAATCAACAAACGATAACCACATAGATCTGTTAGTGGGCGACCAACCACCCCCTTACCTAAGACAATGGTGTTAATGCACAACGTAAAGTAAAACAAGGAAAATCATATGAAAACAGATTGACCAATCAGACCGATACAAAGCACATAAAATCAACTTACAAAAAGATTTAAGACATAGAGTAGATTTCTGAGAAATCAGCAAGTTACTGAAAGCTATTTGAAAGCCAATAACAACTTATGAAACAATCATGAACAGCAACTAATATATCTATAAGTGAGTAAACAAATGAGACACTCATTTGTCGAAAACGAACTGACAATGAGGTGACAAAAATGAAAAAATGATTAAAACCCGTCGTAGTATTGATCGTGTACATGTTAGTACACACACGATAATAGTACTAAATCGGTTTGTCGCATTTGACGAAAAGATGACGGATTATAGTTTATAACTTGGTTTAAAAGATCCCCTGTATGCAGCAAAACTCTATAAAAGATATCAACATTTGTTAAACCGTTCTTGAACTCTTCAAATGAATTGTCGTTCTTGAATGACGATGCTTACACATTTTGAGCGTTTCGGGTTAAAATCTTGATAACTATAAAACATAAAGAATAATTGTCGAACTGATAATTGGTCAACATATCAAAATATATAAGTAAGTGTACATGGTCAAAATTGTAACTCAACTCCTTTGATGTCATTAAATTACAATTTTTTCCCATTTTCTAACTTCTTTATGGAAACTGGTTACCAGGAAAAATGATAGTAATTGCCAAACATCATAATGAGAAGAATTTAGTTTATATATTAACATGATACACGGAACACATAACAATATTAAAAATAGGACGTAAGCCTGATCTCCTGTAACAGTATGCGATTCCAAATGACATTCGTTGAATGACTCATGGCTTACAATATTGGTTACTTTTAGTAGATGATAGTAATGCATCCGGGCTTTTAACTTTTTGATAAACGTCGTACTTTGTTTTCCTATCAGTACAGGGTGAATGGTCTCCCTGGACAACATGGTCGGTTTGTAGTGATTATAGATGCAATGGTGGACTTCAGAGTAGATCACGTAAATGCGATGGGCCTCTTCCATCTGACAGTAGCTTATATTGTAAGGGAACATCAATGGAAATAAAACCTTGTAATACAACCTTATGTCCAGGTAAATACTTAGAGACATTATATAGTTACCTCTGAATATTATATTTTATACACAGTTCAATGTCAAAATGACATCATGCAAATGTTATTGCCTAATCTTACAAAAGCAAACATCATACACCCTGAATTGGTAGTAATGCATTATAATCACAAGTTTAATTTTACTCGGAATATTATCTGCTGTACATTCGGAGGCTAACACATACAATATAATTTTATAAAGACGTCCAAGATATGTTAAATCTTTGATTTATGTTTCTGAACTCTGATTTTTAAGTACATTTTTGCATACATTTACTAACTATGGTAATGAAATCAATAATACAAGGTTCACTGAGATAGTTATAGCAAAGCAAACATGACATTTAAAGGTCAAAATGAGTGGTTTTATCAAGAATAAGATAGCATGGCATGTATAAGTATATAAATGAATCACATGTAAACAAGATATGAACTCAAAGCACCGCTTAAGGTTTTATTTTCAAAAACTCCAGTTAAATTAGTGTCTACATTGATTATCTATACAAGGACAGCAAAGCCTTATGCTTTCATCATGCTTCATTTTAGTGTCAATACTTTTGAAATTAAAATGAAGATTTCAGTGTACAACATTTAAACCATTTGTGAAACCTTAATCTGGACTGTGTAAATGTGGCATGATGCCAAAATTCAAGATGAAACAAGTCATTTCAGCAACCTTCAACAGGCCTATGATTGTGCAAAATTTATATATGATTTTCTTCAAAACAAAAAAATGAATAATAAAAACATACTTACTACTTACATTATTATTACCTTGCATAGAGCACTATATCAGATAATTAGGTTGATTTTAATACTTTTCTTAATTTGTATTACCTGAAGAACAGTTTTACTATTCTGCTACCGCTAATTCATGAAGACATATTGCTGAAATAATTGAAATGAATTAATTTGTTAGTCTAAGAGCATAAACAATAAATGGCCTACTTAAAGCATATACATGTAGAACAACACAAAATATATTTTTATACAAATTAGGAGATGTATGATTGCCAATGAGAAAATTATCCACCAGAGTTCAAATTAGGAGGACTTCATTTGTGTCAACTTTATGTTAGGTAGTTTAAAACTTACATTGAACAAAATTATATAATTTGATGAGCTTGAAATTTACAAACATGCGCATATTAGCCTTGAATTGCCCCATTCGTTAAAACACATTTCGTTATTGTTTCGTTTGGATGACTTAAAAGTAAACACATTTGTTATAGAATAAAAGGAGAAAATAAATTGTTATAATGAAATCTGTTCAATGTAAATAAACTCATCATAGATACCAGGATTCAAATTTTGTATTTGCGCCAGACGCGCGTTTCGTGTACAAAAGACTCATCAGTAACGCTCGAATAAAAAAAAAATTAAAAGGGCAAAAGAAAGTACGAAGTTGAAGAGCATTGAGGACCAAAATTTCCTAAAAGTTTTCCAAAATACAGCTAAGGTAATCTTTTCCTGAGGTAAAACAGCTATTGAATACACATTTTACAGGTTCAAGTTCAATAACAAATTCTGATCCAGGTAATTATTCACTTGGAGTAGTTGGCGGAGTAGGTGTAAGCTGCATCATTATTACAATTGTTTTGGTTTTACTGAGTCAGTCCGCTTTTTCACGTTGGAGAACATATAAAAGGGGTAAGTATTTACTTCAAACGTATAAATTTAAGACTTTCATGAAAAACAAAAATAAAACTGTGCTCAACGTCCTAAACATGTCAGGTCCCTCTATAGAATACACTTTATAGTTGACAGTTGTTATTTTTCATCAATATGTTTTCAGTTCACTTGATCAAACATCTGACAAAATAATTAAAACAATATATTACATAAAATTGAGAATGGAAATGGGGAATGTGTCAAAGAGACAACAACCCGACCACAGAACAGACAACAGCAGAAGGCCACCAACAGGTCTTCAATGCAGCGAGAACGTATTTTCAGTATACATTTTTTTCAAATACATGGTGAATCGATCTCTATTGGTAAATACTAGTATCGTAATCTTCATATATCCATTAGGTATAGATTAGTTAAGACGTTTCTGTCGTAATGGTTTACCAACTGCTTACCTTTCCGATGAATTCAGATAATGTTTGAAGGGTTCTTGTTAGTGAATCCCAAGTTGTAGCCGTGCTGTTTTGTGGGTTCTTGTTTGTATTTTGTTGTGTTTTTGGGCGTGGTGTCATTTTTTGATTGACATTATATGACTTTTTATTTTGGTTACCCTTTTGGTATATTTTCCTTTTGTTCTTTTGAGTTTTCCTTGGATACATATATCTGTTTATAGATTGCATCTCTGAATGTATTTGGTGGAAGGAAAACAGAACAGAACTGTAATACAACACATAAGATTTATATATATCTGAACATTTAGCTCTCCTTTTTGACATGTTAAAAATGGAGAATTTTAAAAGTGTCTTTGTATTCCAAATTAAGAAGAGAATAGTTCAGCCGAACTCAGACAACCTTACAAATATATTAATCAGACAGGCGGACTGACAAATTATGAAATTATTCTTGATCCTACTTTTATAAGAAGTAATTGCGTCTGCCTTATCTATAATTTTAGATATGGTATACACAATTTTTTTCTCCATTTGCATGTCAGATTAAATGTGAACTAATTCATATTTGTCCAACTGCCAACTTAAATTTAATTCAGAATGAGCCAGTTTATTTGTTCCTCTCAAAATTTGTTATATATTAATCGTTCATCTGAACAAGCTAATAATATGATACATATAGCATTTTAACATGCTTATGTATGTTTGTTTAATGGTGAAGACCTGTTATTTATGTCCCGATTGAAAAAATAGTTCTCGTATCACACTGAACGAAGTACGATATCAATAAGTGATTAAAACAAAAACGCGTTAATTATGGTTTACATAACCTGCATTGTGATGACAAATTACGACATTTGTATTGGCTCTCAATAAGGTCAAATATGATTTTCAGAGGTCACAACGTACTACTTCTACACTAGCGCAGATATATGATTTTTTTCAATAATTTAAAACACTCACATTTTTCATTTGAAAATCTTCGTTTTGACAAATTTGAATCCATTCTGAAGCAAATAATAAGCTTTACTACAAGTTTGTCGCAGGGAGCATAATAACTTATATTTGAATTTTTAACTATTCTTCTTACTGTGAGTATTTTTACATGTTATTCTGGTTTGACAGAATAGAGTACTGTATATGGACATTTTGAGTCTGAAATATCTCAATAGTTAGAATTTGATGTTGATTGGTATCAACCCTTGTTACTTAGTATCAACAAACGATCGTTTGTTATTATATTGAAATCCTGCAGTTGATATCAAGTCGATATCCAATTATTACTTGTAATGAAACCTATTATCAAGGCTATTTAAGCTGTAGAGTTGGGTCGTCAGGAATTGAAAAATGTTTGTTAAGGTTTGACTATGATGCACAATATTGAATTAATATTATATGTTTGCAGGTGACACCCACAACAATAATATGTAAGTGTTCATATTAATTTTCTCCTTTGATATATTTCTAGGAGCCTTTAATGAATATAGTATATTATACGGTATAAGTTTTGTTCATTGTTTAATAATGTACAGTGACCTGTAGTTGTTTAAACCTTTTGACTTTTGGTGTGGAGTTGTGTGAAATTTGCAAACAGATCATATATCCTTAACTGTTTTAATTTGATCGCAACTGATGAATTGTATTCAGATGAAACGCGTGTCTAGTGTGCCTGGTAGTATCTTGGATGGGAGTTCATTTGTCTAAATCCCAGATAGTAAAAGTGACCAATAACGTAATTACAGTGAGCATGCAACGTACACTTTTGTGAATAAACTATATAACATTTTTTAAATCTACAATGGATTATTTAAATGGCATTTAAAACATACTAGACCAGCCCCAACCACCTTTACTTATTTTTTTTTTTATTTACTTGACTGTATTTATTTTATAGTATAACTATTTTGTCATCTATCTTTTTTCGTGTTTTAAATGATCCGTAAATTTATTTGGAATTTTTAGCGCAAAGAACCTAGAAAAAAAAAAAAAGAATTCGTGTATGCCAAGGGAAATAATTCTGTCTTGTCTTTTTATATAAGTTGAATTATTTTAGTATATTTGTTACTGTCCATGTTCAGTTTTTTTTTTTCATGAAACGTTACATTATAATAGCTACTGCCCTATGATTATTCAAATAAACTATAGTAACAGATTGGCAACAATTCTTCACTGGTATATAAGTCTTATTATAATATGCTTTTCAAATTATTTAAAAGTATGTTTTCACCTACATTTTGAAATAAATATATATAAAAAAGACTTTATATTGAAAGATTAAACACCGAAGTTAAGATATTGTGATCGTTTAAAAATTTTCAGAATCGTAATAAAACAATCGTAATTGCATGAAGTCGAAGTAGATTGAGCTTCGACAGTGTTAGCAGGTTCAACGCACCATTTTTTCGTAAAATGTCCTATGCCAAGTCAGGATTATGGCAGTTGTTATCAAATAGTTTGTTTCTATGTACATGATGTATGTTGGCGTTTGGTTTTGTTGCAGTTCAGTGTTGTTGTTCCGTTGTTTTCTTTTTATAGTTGATGTGTTTCCCTCGGTTTTAGTTTGTAACCCGGATTTGTTTTCGCTTAATCGATGTATGGCTATTGAACAGCGGTAAAATACTGTTGCCTTTATTTAGCATAACGAGCATTACTGAAGAGACATAATGCAGTAAAATTTGTCTCGTTAATACTATTGTATTCATCACTTTCATACAATTTAAATGTCAATTCCAGTGATAAGAGTTAAAACAAGGAATGTTAAAATTTACATAGACGGGCATTTGGGAGTTAGAAATGAGTATAAATGATTTAGGTTAGTTAAGAAATAAGATTAGATAACCGATATCAAACATACGTACATACATTTTTATAAACACACCATAAAAAAAAAACAAATCAGAAGGAATAGTATTAACTTCACACATAGAGAACTAATACAGTGTAGAGATCAAACAACACATAATTGAAAACGCAAAACTTTTTTTGAATACTAGTAAGTAACATAACTCTGTTTCGAAAATTACTATAATGACACGCTGTAACGTATTTTATCAATTGGCGCCGGTGTGCCGTGGCCGAAAAGGTTAATTACAATCATCACATATATGTCAAAACTGAGGTTGTCATTTATAACCCATTTAGTGACGAGATTTATTCCAAAAAGATCTGAATAGGCAAATATTGCCAGTGTCCATTTTGAAGGTCGGTAATTGTCTCGGGGACTCCTGCAATACAAACTGGCAGACATTATACAATCAAGATATTTGAAAGTGGCGTTGTACACCACCAAACAAACATGCACACACATGTTATCAATGACATGTGTATTCACTGTAACGGTTAACGTTTTGTTACCATCTGTCATATCTGTTTTTCGTTGATTGGTTAGGCATAAATGAGGTCGCTTATTTTTTTCGTTCGGTTTGAGTTGTTGTCATGTCAAGGTCTTCTTTATCAACCTGTACGGCATAGATTTTGATCATTTTGGAAGGCTGTACAGTAACATATAATTGCTTACATCTACGTTATTTGGTCTTTGATGGATAATTGTTTACTTGACAGTAAATACACTTCTCCTTATTTTTATATGTTCTATTGGATGGTAGATAGTATATAACTGCTTTAAACATAAACAATTAAGGCTGAAGATGATGATTAGCAAATAAAGCACCGATATTTGGTGGCGAACATATATTTGGACATGAAGGGAAACCTAGCACTTTGATTTAAATTGTTAACTTGGTGGTTCGCAGGGTTATAAGGATAGGCTTAAATACCCGTCACTAAAAAAGTATGCATCATTCCTAACACCATACAGTATGCTTAGCTGAGAAGCTGTACATAGCAATTTTCACGTTTGTGGTTTGAACTGGAAATGACGAGAACCGACAACCATCTACACTCAAATAAGGCACGATACAACTATTAAGCAGTTACATATAGACATATACAAATATACATAGACAATTAAACTTTGGAAATACAAACAGTCAAATTCAGGGCTATTCAATGAACTATAAAAACACTTTCTACAAGAGGTTCCACAGTAGAAAGTCAACATACAAATATATCATTTGACAAAAGCGGATTTAATCGATACAACGGTTCAAGGTGATACCATCAGATGCAATTTAGTTGGTCAGGTATTCTTAAAAGTTTTCATTTCATTTTTTTTCAGGGAGGAATCCTACGATGACTTAAGGATAAATCAATCAACTTCAGATTATTCTGTTTATACCAATCAGAACAATGAAACCAACAGCGCTAAAAGGGAAAGTAATGTACCATTTGAAACGTACGACAACTTAGGACAAGATTTCTACGAGAATTCATTTTGACATTTTGATATCTGCCTATAACGGATTAAATAAATCAGATAAACAAACTCATCAAATATACCAGGCTTATACAAATTACTTTGTTTAGTTTTAGCATATTTGTTTGCAAAAAGGATTAGACACACGTAAGTCCAACTTAGATCGTCTTCTCCTAAGATACAATATAAGTCAATATAATTTCATACATGTAGCATGCAAATATCAAATGTATCGTTGCACAATATATAATTTAACATTTGACAACATATTAACAGACAATATAGAAAAAGGAAAGATAGGAAAAAAGGAAGAAAAAACATGCATGTGTGTGTGTGGATCAATACATTCATATTATACACATGATTAAACAAAGAACATTTTGGTAATTTTAATATATTCAAAAACATTTCTAAAAATTTCTTCATTTTGCTCATTTGTCAGATTTATACTACCAGATGTTATAATCTCTAGATCCAACACAATGTCGTCTGGTAACCAACTAAGACTATTCTTAAGAATGTGACATGAATTTGTATATAAAGGACATTTAAAGAAGAAATGATTAGTATCTCCACGGATATCCACAGCAACCAGATTGATCTGATACAATGTTTATTTTAAAGAGACCAAAATAAAGGAATGAAGCTGAACATCTTAATTGCGTTAAAATACTATTGACCCTGCCACGTCCGGTCTGTGTTTTCGTCAGATATTTTCTGCTGTGTATCGATCGGAGTAGTTAAGACCGTCTTAACTGATTGTTAATTTTTGTTCTGGTGTTGTACTTTATGACTACTGTCCCAGGTTAGGGGGGGGGGGGGGGTGGGGGGGGGGGAGGGGGTTTCCGACAGCAAACTAGTTCTATATGTGCCTGTCACAAGTCAGGAGCTCAGGTCTGTCAAATTGGAGTTTCGTAAATTGTTTTATCATAAATTAAATCCACTTTATTTGAACCTGAATGGATAGTTGTCTTCTTGGCAATCATATCACATCTCCTTCTCTTTAAGTTAAGGGTTTTGTTGTAGATTAGAAATAAAGACGTCGAACGAACGTGTGAAGTAGGTTTGGGGAAATATTGCATGCAAATATGCTTAGATGTTTATTCTTTGGGTAATAGTCAACCTGGATTTTATAAATAACGAAGTCGTATTATTAAATTTCAAATACTTTATCACTATCTTCAGAGACTGGATTTCAGAACTTCATCGTTTTCCTCTTGCAACATTTAAACTTCAAACACTTGACTTGTCTACCCTCTATACAAGTATTCCAAAATCTTAACTAAACGACAAATTGAAAATTTGGTCCTGCTTTGTTTCCTAAAAAAGAATGACAAACGTATATACCAATGTCTTGTTTTAGGGAGGGATAAATCATACTTTGTAAAAAAAAGGGAATTTAATGACAAACTCTCAAAAAACGAAATTATCAAGATGCTTGATTTCATAATCAATACACGATTTGTAATGTTTGGAGGACGTATTTTTCACAAATAAATAACATTCCCATGGAAACCAAATTAGCTCTTCTTCTTGTCGACTTGTGTCTTTATTCATATGAAAGAGACTTCATACAGGAGTGCCTACGGAAGAATGAAAACACTAGCATCATCCTTAAACTTCACGTTCCATTATATAGATTGATTGATTGTTGTTTGCTTTACGCCGCATTAGCACAGAAAGGCTATATCGCGGCGATCCATTATATAGATGTCCTCCCACTGAATATTTCAAAGTTTGGTGACTAATCCAGTGGTTGTCGTTGGTTCATGTCTGTCATTTTTCGTAAATTGTTTTATTATAAATCAGTCCGTTAGTTTTCTCAATTGAATTGTTTCATATTTTTCATGTCGGGGCCTTTTATAGCCAACTATACGGTATGGGTTTTCTCATTGTTGACTACGTACAGTTGCCTTTAATGGCTTACATCCATTTCATTTGAACTTTGGTGGATATTTGTCTCATTGTCAATTATATCACATCTCCTTATGTTTATGTTTATATTAAAATGTGTTCTGAAGAAATATGTTTTGGCATTTAAATAAAAAATTATCGAATTCAAAGACCATAATCAATCAAATAAATCCATACTCTTTATTATAAGTTTTTGTTTATTTTACTTGTTATGTATGTTCTTTTAATTTAAGTTATACGCCCTTTAAATTTTACTATGAGTTCACAGTAACAGTTATTTTAAAATGAAACACATTATAATAAGTGTTATCAATAATGTAACACATGTGAAGACAATAACAAAATGTCGTTGTTCTTTTATTTATCAATATTTCTATTTGAGCAAAACTAAAATGCCGTTCATAACAAAAATACTAAGATCTAAAAAAAGCAATTCATGTATCTTAATTTTTTAATTACACTGATAATATGCATTGATAACTGCACCATAGTTTCCATCTAAAACAAAGGAAATAAAAATAAAAATTAACAAGCATCTATCCCCTCTTAAAAGAGAAACATCTTGTAATTTGCGTAAAAGGTCATGCGTAGTTTGCCGTAGTGTTTATGTATCATTTAACTATCAAAACTGTCCCATATTCTCATTTCAGTTGTTCGACTAAGTTTTTTACCTCTTTTAACCGATTCTGTTAGACCATTTCGCTTAAGCAGTTGAACTATCAATGTTGATCCTGAGTGAATAGCATACATAAGTGCAGTCCTTCCCGCAGAGTCTGTTGCATTTATTTCAACATTATTGTCAAACAGACACCTTATTATGTCCAATTTCCTTTTCTCGTCAGCATTAACCTGGCAAGCAATCATAAGTGGTGTCAGTCCATTTGAATTCGTACAGTTACAATTCACCCCGCCTGTTGTTAAAATTTTAGCAAGTTTTAGATTCCCTGTTGACAGTGCTGTAATGAGCATTTCCTCCATGTCCAGTTTTGAATTTTCAATTTGTGTCCTTACATGTGAAATATATTCTACTGGTGTATTCTCAATTACTTCGGATCTTATAGCTATTTTAAAGGTCAATTCCCTAATTTGACATCTTCCCACTGTAACTATACCCACACATTATATTGTTAATCTGTTACAAATGTCCAAATTTGTAAAAAGCTGGATTGTTGAACCTTAAGATGAAAGTATTAAAGAATATTGACCTTTTGTTTGAAACAAATTGATTCAAACGTGTCAAGATTAACTTCGTCATATACATTGACGTTGAATTTGCCACTTTGCACATAGAAGAAATAGTAAATGTATTCGATTGTCTAAAATTGAATTTATAAAACAAGTCCAATATTTAAAATAGCCGACTGCTAATGTTATATACACACCCTGAAAGTATATCCCATAGTACTATATCAAAATTATAATAATCCGAACTTCTATTTAAGACCAGTATTCATTTATTCTAAACAAAATTTTATTGAAGAAACTAGCATAACATTTTACAAAAGTGTATCTCTTTTGAAAGTATTTGAATTTAACAAACGTTTCTCCTCAATAAAATCAACATACAACGTTTTGCTTTTCAAGGAGATGATATTTTAAATGGTTAAAATAAGAAGAAAAAAAAACCTTTAAAGAGGTGTATATTTTTTCTTTTTAATTTTTATTATTGATATTATTCAATTCGGTTAACACAGGTACATTTTTTTTAGTTGAACAGAAGAGAAATAATACGAATTGGAAAGTAACCGTTTTACCCGCTGGGATACTATCTGTGTCAGAAATTTAACTCGGAAAATAAAGTTTTGATGATAGAAATGTTTTAAAAGAGAGGCGAGAGATACGAAAGGGACTATCATACTCATAAGTCGAAATAAACTGACAATACCATGGCTAGATTAGAAATAAACAAACAGACAAACAACAGTTCACAAAACACTACATAGAAAACAACAGACTGAGAAGGACGAACCACATCACAAACTTGGGGGTGATCTCAGGTGCTCCGGAAGGGAAGCAGATTCTGCTCCACACGTGGCACCCGTCGTGTTGCTCATGTTAGTAAAAATCCGGTTATAAGTCTAATTCGGTAGGTCACATTCGGGAAAGGGGGACGGGATTGTAGTTACGACAATTAGAACATATCCGCTATCATCTGTGAAACGGATATTCCATAACGGTCAACAAACTCGTGATGGCGTCCGTAAAATTAATAAAGGGATGATTTCAACTTCACCGCTTGGAACTCTTGGTTCAATAGATTCCTTGTGAGCAACAACCTTCTATGAAAAAAACATGTTAGCAATATACAAGCCCTGGAATATCGTATCAATTGGGAGATATGAACTCCGTATGAAGGCGCTGCTGGCATGTTGCTACATATAAATGGAAAGTTCACAATTGGGAATCTGAAATCATCTCTTCTGTCGTAAAGTTTTGTTTTCAATCGACCATATCTGTCAATTTTAAGATGTAAGTCAAGATATGAGGCAGACTTAACTGTATATGTTGTAGCCTCAAGTTCGAGAGGATAGATACGTTCAACACAATCACAATTATCATTAATTATCATTCAAATAATCTTAGGGGTACTGTCTACCGTTGACTCTGCACAATGATGTTGAATATTGGTGAATATGGTACTTTATTTTCTAAAAAGTCAAAAGCTTTATTTATAAACGAATCTTGATACACAGAAAACATAAGCTCGCCCGGATTATCCCAACTTAGCTCCTATATCAGCCATTGTAGTAAGTTTTTCATCTTCATTCATTATCGGCTATGGTCGTTTAGAAATATTTCCAGTTTTAAGCGAACACTTTGAATGAAAGCGTCAATGGAATATATCTAAAGGGTAACAACATGTCAAGCTGAGTGCAAACGAACAATAAAAAATAAATTTCATTTCTGAAAACAAATGGAGTGTTGAAAGAAAATATTATCGTCCCAGGTGTTTAAGTGTAAGGATGTTCGCTTCTCTGTTTCAAAATAACAAGCTTTTTAAAAGGCTGTTATAAATTGATAGAATATAAATGAAGAAACTAAAACAGCAGAAAAAAATTAAGGGTCCGTGTGCTTGTTTTCGAGCTATTGCCATTGAAAATTTGGCGGGAAATGATTCCCTCTAGATTTTTCATACATTTAACATTGGTACCTTTTTTTCTTTCAAAAACAATGAAAAAATAACAGGATTTTATAAGATTTTCAAATATGGCTTTTTAAACTATATGTAATAAAATTATGAAAGGAAAAGTAGGGGTTAGCAGGCAAAATTTTCAGTGGCACTACATGGATAAAAACAGAGGGTTTCCGAATATCTGGCAAAAAATTCAAACCAGGAGGAGCGAACATCCTTAAATAATGATCAATTTAAAAACTATGTGACCGGACAAACAATCCGATGATAAGAAAAAAATGGTCACTTCAGATAATTACTGGATCAACAAACATGCAAGTTACTAATCCAATGCAGTATTTTTTCAGGGGCCTACCCAATAACTGTCATGCTATTTAAACGTT